TGAGGAGTAGTGAAGGACAATTGTGCTTCGTTCACCGCGGCCACATGCAAATGAAGTACGGTATTGTTCTAGTCGGCACTGGGAACAATGAAGGGCGCGGCGGGAACGATTGAACGGCGATCTTTCTTCACCTCACAATTCGTAGTCAAAACATCTGAAAGACCTGTTATCATCCAATCCAGTTGCCGAATCTAGCCAAGAATTGCACCAGTTCAAATACTCGATTGGCAATTTACTTTCGTAAACAGCACGGCCATTCCCGTGCCACTGAAAAGATCCCATTCGTTGGACTTAATCGTCTGGATGATTCAACAGCGTTTATACATAGCCTAGGTAGATCCGTTCCAGTTCAGCGCTATTGTGTTAAGTATAACATAAACTGTGGATTATAGAAAAAATAATAATGATAAACTGTATATCCTAGAATGGAGATCAATGGGCGGCCTTATCGCTAACAAGCGATCTCTTCTAGGCAATCTAAAGTTTTGTAGAGAAAAAAATAAAGAAAACGAGATGTGCAGGTAGGCAAAGCAAATTAATACAAAAAATATTATAAATAAAAATATACAAAACTTAGGATCTAAAATGTTTACGTGTTTACTAACTTAAACAAAAGGACTCAATATATAAAAAAGAAATAGATAGTGACTTAGATCAGATCACAAATTGTTAGTAGAAGATGATATCGGGTATCGTATAGAAGAGAGAGACTCGATTCAATCTAGTTGTGTGAACCTTTAAGAATTCCAATGATAGGCTTTTGGGCCTCAATTTGAGGTTGTCTATCAATTGTCTTTATCTATATTCTTTTAACTAGTTTCACTAAAGAATAATATCTTCAGGAAACACAATTTATATCTACCTGTGAATTGAAAATTGGAAAGTTTCTAAGTTGACAAACATCAACGACTGACAATATGATAAGTTTAATAAATAGTAAAGCCTGTTTCTTCGGATCCCACGAATCTCGGCTCTCAGATATATCGGTCGTTCCATTAGTAATTACATAAATCAATTATGATTAAGTTAATGTAGGCGTGTGTGGTCTCATTGGAAATGCCGAAGGAGAGTCTAGAATAGATTAGCTACTAAAATCTGACACCTGTACGTGTTATTCAAATGAGCTTCACATCTCGCATCCCGAAAGCGTCGACATAAACGGTGATTTATCGTTATTACTCGTTTTGATTGAAATTGTACCCCGATACCGCGATAGACCGAAAGAGCAGTTCTTAACTAACATAAGATTTGCGGCCTATATTGATTCGTTATTTTGAGCAACGAAATTCGTTTCTGCAATACTTTATAAACTTAAGCTGTGACTCACGACATCGGTCGCGTCCCTTCCTGTCGTTTTTGCGACATCTTAAAGTAGACATATAGCGTCGCGGACATTTTTTTTAATCAAGTAAAGAAGAATCATTCTCCCATACATATTTTTTGTGTATAGAACTTGAACCGTTTTTCCAGCGTACGCCTTGGAACCCCATAATAATGAATAATTTTTCTAATTTTTTTTCTCTCTATCCTCGCTTGTATTCGTCACGGTATTTTATAGCCTTCCTTGGTAAATGCTCTCACGAACACAAAATAATGTTTCTATTCGAACCCGTAGTTCCGAGATGAACGCGTTCAACATACTAACAACAAGAACAACGATGGACAATTCTTAAAAGTGTTTATTACAATAGTTCCATTCAGTGTAGAAATTAAAAAAAATCTAAGAAAATGTTATGTCGGTATAACATATCACTTCCTCAGAATTGGACCCCAGGGCGGCACGTGCTATGGACGCTCGAATCATTTGTGTATCTACGATGCGCACACTGATAGTGGGTCGCGGTGAATCAATCTTCCCGTTCCGGACGTTATCTACAATCACAGCCCACATGTGACGAGGAATGGGCATTCTTCAATCACTCAACGAGTGGTGCCCTTAACTTCTATTTAAATTTAATCAATGAGTGTCTACTCGGGTGCCTTAGAAAATGAGAGTATTATACCTTACTCTCTGTGTTACTCTCTGTGTCAAAATTGTCACATAAGGGGTTGTCCATTAATCACGTGACGCTTGAAAGGGGGGGAGCGGTTTGATAAAAATCACGAAAATAACACAAGGGGGAGGGGGGGTGTAGTAAGATATCTCGTGTATTTATTTTTTCGTCAAACGCGCGATTTTTAAACAAATGGTGTAGACATTTTTATTATGCTCCTTAATTTCAGAATAAAATAAGATTATAGTTTATACCTGTATTTATATTAAGATAATATTCAGGAAATTTTAAGATTCTTTGTAGGTACTAAAAATACACGTGATGTTGAGAAGGGGGAGGGGGGGTTTAAAAATTCTAAAAAAAGGTCACGTGATTTATGTTGGCAACCCCTAACATGTAAACAATGTTATAATATTTATGGTAATGTATGTATTAAAGGTAAAGGACCGCCTCTGTAGTTAAATGGTTAGACGTGTTGCATTAGCGTTAAGCGCAATCCTGTCCTGGCTCGAATCCCGGGGAAACAGTAAATTGTTTCGGTCAGGCAGGGCACAGAAGTCTGATCTGACTTGTAAATAAAAACGGATCAGTGAAACGGACACAGAAATGTGTTCGCCCTGTGCTCCACGGGATTTCACTATGTATTAAAGGTTAATAAAAATACCATAGACTTTCTGACTAAATTTCATCGCATTGCAACGTTTTTGTCTTACGGTTCATATACACGTATAGAAAATGGTGAACTTAGGTATAGTAACAAATGTGTTTGTTTTTTCTTTCGGAGACCCAGCTTATACAAAATAACTAGCATATACTCTCACTAAAGTTTAAATCCACAAAAGTTCCGAACGACATTAAATTAATTCGTTTATTGTTTAAGCGTACTCGGGTCGGGGTTTAATATCAATAGCCAAATTGTTTTTAAACATTTACAATTGCTCGTTAAGGTAGACGCCCACCCTGATATTAAGATGATAATGATCTGGATTCGGCGTAGGTCGAGTTTATTGTTTAAGTATTTTTTAATTTCGCATCTCATGCGGAAAGTATTTTTCTCTGTCTCCTTTGTTTCTCAAAGAGGAGACTGTTAGATTGTCTACTGTCTATAGTTTACGCGAGTAGTACACATTGAAATAAAACACTTAAACGTCTCCCCATGACCACGGCTGCTGCAAAGCATCCGAAACGTCGGGCCGAAGTTAAAAATCATTTTTCAAATAAGTTTAACTAATATATCGCGTTTTAAACGTTTAAAGTGTTTTATTTAACTGTTAGATTGCGTTATAGAACTGTTTACTTTTTCCATTTATTTTGATTAGAAATCCACAAACTAAACCCGAAACGTAGGTTTACAGTTCTCGGCTTTTTGGCTTGAGACGGAATTGGGACAGTATCTTCCCATATCAAATATCAAAATAAAGTTTCAGAAAAACCGAAAACTATGATTACAAATACGGTGTTTATTGAGATTTTTCTTCGGACGTTAGTTTAATAACTTCGACAGCCGGTAATGGTTTAAACATGCAAAATCGCAAAGGCCAACATAACCATCCTTATAATTAGTACTTCCCTTTACTTTGATCTAAATTCCATCCGTTTCGTGGCCTTAAATCAATTTGTTACTCGCCTAACCACCATTATTACATCACGCCACTTAATGTGTCGATATAACGAATCCCTATTTGCTTGTACAAGTGAAACCGAGTTAGGTAATTTGTTTTCTCAATCGAATCTTTGTAATGATTAAAATGCCCCGAATTTAAGTCATTAAGGCTTATGCGAGATGCCTCAATCGCTTCCGAGTTAGATATTATTGGTGTCAATTGTTGTGTAGCTTATGAACTAATTTCAACTTAACCCAGTTAAAAAAATACAATCTAATTGAGACTTTCTCTTTTAGATTTTTAATTCAATTAGGTGACTAGTTGACATTTTAGCCATAAAAAAGTGTTATTTATTAAACATATTTTATAAACTGGAATGTGCTTGTGTGTGCTGTGCTTTTGAGCTGTTGCCAATGACCTCAGCTGCAAATATATAAAATATTAAATTATTAAGTATAAGTTTTCAAATTATACTTATATGTTACAAGATTAAAGTTAAAAGCTTATAATTAATATTATTTGAAAAACCATTTATCGAATGACTTACGTTTAGCCCGCAGTGTTATCCCTCTCCTGTCATCCCTTTCATAATATATTATATCGTTACGCACTTATGGGAAATAAATTGGCTGACAGAATAACTATATTGTGAATAACGATCCAAATGAAAGCTTATGCGCCTTTCTCTCATTGAGCAGTGATTTAGGAATCTTTGGGTTATGATCAAAGGCATCGACAATGTACATAACAAAAACCTATCTCTACTTCTGTATATATCTTTAAGAGGACAAAGGTGATAATTACGTTAAAACTTTCACAATCATTTGTGATAGAATTTGATACTTGAAAATAAGTTTATACTTCTAATAAATAAGTATTTACTGCCACTAAATTACTAAGATACGTATTATCCTCCTAATATTAGTAGCAAAGCCATCTATTGTTAATGTAACTGTACTAAGATAATCCCGTTTGATAAGCAAAGAATTGTAAAAACAAAAATATAAATTAAACAACATAAGTTTCAGATAAAATAACATTACAAAACCGAGCTGTATAGGTTACTTAAATTTTACCTAAGCAACGACGGTTTATATTCTTTAAAGCGGGAGTAGAAACGGGAGTTTTTTCACTAATATAGTTCGCACTTTGAAGTACTTTTGGGTTTACAATTAATTGTATTGTATATCTTATATAACGATTCTATGAAAGTTCTCACAAGCTCACCAATGAGGACAACTATTTTGACTGATACCATCTAGATGGGACAATCTGGCTTAACTGATCGAGTTTCTGATTACATCCCATTGTTCGGCAGATAAACGTATGTTAACACGATGTTACTTTTGCTGTTCAACGGAATCAGGTTTCAATATTTTTTTTTCAGGCCGAGCTCGTGGACATGCGGGCGGAATTGGTGCAGGCGCGGGCTGCATCAGCTGGTAAGCCCCGTTTTTATTTTGATAATGGCCATTGTGTTTTAAATAAGCGGTTTAAGATTACGTTTCTGTTATTTTGCACGAGGTAAAATTTTTGCATGCATCTATGACTACCTGCCTTATTTCTACACTAAATCGCAGGAGTTTATTTTTGGGTAGCTAAGTATTGGTTCTCAACATATAATTTACATCATTGTGTATGTAGCCTATATTCATATATTATTTCCGTATTTTATTATTTACATAAATATAATAATAGCAATGTACAAGTACAATAACCATGTATATTATGTTTATAATATATGTTAAAAGATTTGGATACTGTTAAAACTGAGCTAATCATTACTTATCTTTTTTAATGTATTTTTCATTATAGGGGGTTGTCAAGAGAGCGGCGACATGGTTGGTAACGTGCCAGAAGCGGCGCGCGCCCGGGCAGAGGCGGCACAACTCGCCCGAGAGAACGCCGCGCTCAGAGAAACTGCACTCGCTCTACATTCCGAATTATTTGGTGCTAGGTATATTTCCTGTATTATATTTAAATTACTGAGGAAAATAGACTCGAGCACCAGATAATCGTGAAAGTCATTTTTTTTTCAGACTGGCAACAAAATACTTAGATAAAGAGCTCGCTGGTCGTATTCAGCAGTTACAATTACTTGGGAGCGAGATGCGGGCAGAATTACGCGATTCACTTTGGGCGCAGGTAGGCACCCCTCATGGGGAAATGCTTTTTTGTGGATTTTTTAAATAAATATTAAACAAACTAAAAACCGAAAATCGATCGAAATTTTAGAGCACGATAAAACCTGACATTTCTGAATGTATGTATAATAAAAAATGTATAATATAATTTTTTTAGGTAGAAGCGGAGATTCTTCTACAGCGTCACAAGACATTGGTTCGAGTCTGTCGTGGCACTTCTCCCCGACCAGCGCGGCCCGCTTCGCCACAGCGGGCCCGCCCCCGCACGGTGCGTGTACGCCGCTCGCCACACCTTGGTCTCGGAATATCCGTTACGGTAAGTTATTTTAAATACATATGTGCTGTGTACAATTGATTAAAAAAAACAACACGTTTTAAACCATTTACTGGTTTAAAACGGTCACGGTGAGACCATGTTTGCTGCTAAACACCCGAAGCGTGGAGTCATAGTTAAAATAATTTATAAGTTATTTTAATTAATACATTTGGCGTTCTAAACCATTGTTTTAAACCACAGTGTTTTATTTAAATGTGTACAATTCATTATTTTTTAGGGTGGAAGAGAGCATGGCGTACCTATATTGATATCAGAACTGGAAGCGGGTGGACCGGCTGCCCTCACCGGACAACTCTACGTCGGCGATGCGATACTTGCTATTAATGATGTTGATCTCACACAAGTAAGTATTGGTCCTTCGAGCAAGACCAAGGATGTAAGGCTAGTTTCGTTGCTAAAAACATCAGCAAACAAAAAAAAACCAAAACCATTAATTTCACAAAGGTTCAAATATTTAAACATTGTTTTTCAATTTTTTTTTTCAGGCGTGTCATAAAGAAGCAGTGCAAGCATTGCAGAGCGTAAAAGGAGACTGTGCGTTGTGCGTGCAGTATATAGCGACTGATGATGACGATAGGCTATCTGAAGACAATTACAGGTAATTACTATATTTATAATGTATATGCTACATTAACTGTACAGACTATTGGCATAGATTGCCAAGAAAAAACTATATTTAATCTTTTACAGGTTTCCATTGTATCCAGAAGATGGCGAAGAATTTTGCGACGAAAGGGACGGATCCGGAGTGACTCCCACAGCTCCTAGAACTCCTGATTACAATCATAGGTAACCATTCAAGCAACGATGCATAATAGGGGATATAAATAAGACGGTTTGCTAACATGAATTGTATATGCCAAAGCTTGAAAATCTAATTTTCTCTTTTCTGGATTTATCTTCCGTTATTATTTTTTAGTGTGTCTCTTTTTGTTATCATTCATGCTAAAGATAAGACGATCAGTGTTTCCTTTACTGTGTAGAGTACTTTGTTGGTTCAGTTTCATATATTTACAGTATTCTTATAAAGTATTTTTGTTTGTAACTTTTATTTAGGGCATATCTTGTTTGTATTTTGGTGATGTGTGATAAATAAATAAAATAATGTTAATTATCAGGTGTGATTCAGAGGAACGCTCATGTAGCGAAAGCGAATCTCGCTTCGACGTGTACCCGCCGCGTTCGACGCACCCGTCTCACCCCCCACTGCCCGCGCCCGCACCCGCCACGTACCCGGATTACAATAACATCAACAATAACCTCAATATACTAGATATGGATGACGATTCTATTAAGATTGAAGCTAGATTAGAGGTAATGTATCCAGTATAGTGTTAAAAAGTTGAATTGTAAGTTATAGAATGGTGATATTTATTTAATGTATAGTCTATGTTTTGACAAAAAAAATTCTCTCTAGCTTCAAATTATCATATTTGTCTTTTGAAACTTTTTTTTTGTAAATTCTATTTAGTCATTACTTAAAGAAAGTCAAATTTATTTTATAAGAATAAATAACACACTCAAATAAAACACAGATGGCACTAGAATTTAACTTTGCAAAACTGTTGCATCATCTGTAGCATCCGAAACGTCAGACTGTAACGAATTCAAAAAAAATAAGTTAACTAATACATTTTGCGTTTAAATCGTTAAAAATGTTGTATGTAAATATATATCAGATTACACTAATTTTATTCACATTACTGTTTTACTACAGTATTAACTGTTTTACTATTTACGCAAAAAACTGTTTACAATTTTTAGTTCTTATGTTATCTATTGGTTGCAGATGGTGAAGTTAGAAGGAGCGGACGCGGCGGTAGCCAATATCCCACCTTCCCCGTGTAAAATCTCCGCTTCGCCACGATCTACTCCTGTCCATGTGGCTAGAACAAATCTCAAGAAACGCAAGGCATTGGTATGACAAACTGCGAAGGCAATTCTAAAAGCAACGATATTTTACGTTTTTAACCACTGGCTCATTTAAATTTAAAAAAAATTGGTGATTTATAGCGTCCACACATTATAAAACATGACGTCACCAAGATAATTATTTCCACTAAACATAAATCTACTGACAAAAATTCTTACACTGTGATACGTTAGTTTACGCAAGTAGTACACATTTAAATATAACACCTTAACGGTTTAACACGCGATATATATTAGTTAAACTTAGTTAAAAATTATTATAACTGCGGCTGTTGCAAAGCATCCGAAACGTCGGGCCGTAGTTAAATTAATTTTAACTAATATATATCGCGTGTTAAACCGTTAAAGTCTTTTATTTAAACTTATTACCTATATACTTTAATTATTAGTATTGTAATTATAATTAGCTGACATAAATAAATTGTAGGCTAAAAAGATATGCATCTCTTTTACTCTATCATTTTCATAGTATAATAAATTATATGCAAACAGGATTGGCGAACGAAAGGTGCCTACAGTGCAGTTTCAATCGACGGCGTCTCATCGGACGAGCCCGGCGAAGCGGCAAAAGTCTCGACGGAAGCGGAAGTGACTCGCGTCAGAGACTGGCGCACCCGCGGCACTTACGCTGCGCTTAATCATATCCACTCCTCGGATGATGACACGCTCGATAACTCGCCCAGATCTAGTATGTACTGATAATATTATACATGCTTTCTATAGCTTACGCGAGTAGTACACATTTTTTTTTTTAAATCTTTATTTAGTAGGCTTTAACCTAATTAGGTTATGTCGCCCAATGATACAAAATTTACAATTACAATACCGAATTAATAAAATATCTACACTCTAAACATATCTACATAGCCTTATGATATAAGTTTAGTAGCATCCTAGCCTCCCCCGAAAATGGAAAGGCTAAGACACTACCATACCACCCAACATTTTTAAAACAGATAGATTTACTAACCAATTGTCTATATGCCGCATTCCGTACACATTCCGACAAAACATGAGTGAGGTCTTCCACAACGTTACAATCTGTGCAATCAGGATTTGATGTTACTCTCATCAGATGTTTGAATTTGTTTGTCGGAATATGTCCGGAACGCAACCGCATTAAAGATACAACATCTCTTCTATTTATACACATACAATCGTATGATACCAGATACCCTTTGTGAGAGACCTCTCATCGAAATAAACATTCCACATACTTCGACAATCTTGTCTCACCAAAAAAAGTACCTCAGAATATGTAGGTCGCCCATATAATGAAACTACTCCCCCCGAAGTCTCACCATTTAACACAGCATATTTAGCCCAACGATCAGCTTCTTCATTACCTTCAATGCCAACGTGTGATGGTATCCACTGAATTTGTACTGTTTTATTTTTAACTTTTAATTTGCAAATAGAGTCCAAAATGGAATAGGCTATCGGGAGCCCTCGATTCCTCGAGGGTAACCGAGCCAAATGAAGCGCTTTTAGAGTCCGATAAAATTAAAAACTGAGAATTATTTACAGAATCAACATATGATAATGCTTCAGCAATTGCCATCAACTCGCAGTGCATAATAGAAATATTTGAATTTAACTTAACTGGTAATTTAATGTTTAACTGAGGATCAAAAAAGGCGGCTCCACATCCATCTTCAGACTTGGACCCGTCTACAAACAACATATAAAAAGATCGAAACTCACTATTTAAAAGATTAATACATATTTGACGTAAATTTACTGTGTTAAATGATTTTTTATTTCTCGAAATTGCCGCAATGTTAGGCACAATATTTTTTGAAGTATCAATGTAACTAGTCCAAAAATCTAAAGAGAAATTTTCTGCCAATGGCTGTGAATAAACTGAAACGTTACAATATTTTTGATAAGTCTCAATTAACAAAGGTTTTTTCTTACGAACCCAAAAATGATTATGACACAAATTATTTAATTCATCTAAAACACTAATTGTAACGTTATTGATAATAGCTCTGGATTTTAAGTAAAATTTTGCTGCCAGTACACATTTATATAAAATACTTTAACGGTTTATAACGCGATAAATATTAGGTACGCTTATTTGATAGGCGTGACTGCAAAACATCCGAAACATTGGGCCCTCATTAAAATTTAATACAATCTTTTGAATAAATTTAATGCAATCAATGACTGAATCTTATACACGGATTAACGGCTTAACCGATTTTGATAACTAATAAAGTGTTGGCTGTATGATGCTCCCTTGAATAACACACAAAACTTTCTATCCTAAATTATGTATTCTGATTCGCAAAATTTAATAAAAATATAAATTTTGCGCGTCAGTCGCAGAATGTTTGCCAAAGTATCTAAGACATAAGTACGATTATCATAGACTTTCTTCCTTAGTACTATAATACGTTGTATCAGAATATTTAGTATAATAGTACTGATATTGAATTCGTTAAAAGCAACATTTGGCACTCAAGAATCTTTGAATTCTTTATCAAAATCGGTTAAATAATGTAGTGGATTATTAGAAGTCTAGCAATTTCACAAAAATCTGATATTATATATTTATTATTTTTTATACAGATGACAATTGCAACAATACAACAGCGCCACTTGCTCAAGAAGCGATCGTAGCTTTGTCGGCTTCACAGTCGACCCCCGCTGTAACCAGTAATCCTCCCATCACTGCGGGTAACGTGTCAATGCCCTCAGACGCTCTACCTGCTGTCACGCTGACTGCCACTGTCACGCCAGCTGCCGTCACTACGAATAACGCGACTCCAAATCTAACGTCAATCTCAACAACAGCAGTTCCAACTCCACGTCCGGTGCCGATACAAAATGAAATTAAGACTAGTAGAGTTAACGGCGAGACGAAGCCGAAGAAGGAAGTTAAGAATTTTAGGTAATTGTTTTCTTTTTATCTGATACTTGTTGGTCTACTTTTATAATATATTAAACCAATAAGAACCGCATTCTATCGTGATCGTGAGGTCGGAAGTTCGATTGCCGATTGCGAAAGTGGGTAAAAAACTTCGCCCATACTACACATAAATAACCAGAGATAAACTTACTTTGCAATTACAGGATAGGGTCAGCGCGGCGCGTCGAAGCTCACGGGCTGTTGCTCAACGGCGACGGAGACCCCGACTTCGGGACACCCGTCTGATTCCTATATTTCGCCGCTTGTACGCGCGTGCATTTCGTGCAACGAATAGCTTTCTCTACGCTAGTTTTAAAGATTGCTGCCAATAGATTGTACGCTACATGACAGTTGAAGAAGTTTATTTCCAGCTTTGCACGTTCCATGACAGAATGTATTATTTTTTTATTATATGCAGTTATATCGGCTAAGAGACGTCTTCGTGTTTGTAGTAGCTTTTATAAGTGACTGCAATAGAACCGTGTTTTATTCCATTGCAGCAGTTACCTACAAATACAGACGTATTCAAGCTGTTCCAATCGAATTATTTATTCTAATCGAAATTTTGGCAAAGATAATACCAGTGATATTTAGGTACTATTTTATTTCATTAAGTTAGATTATATTAGTTAAATTATACCGATGATAATTTATTATATATATCACAAAGCTACGTACCTAAAATGATAGAACCCGTAGCCGGAGTGGGGGGATGGTGTAATTCTGTGAAATAGGTCGCATAGAATGTACACGAATTTACAACACTGAGAATTGACCCCCGCGCGGATATTAAAAATGTCGCCCACGGTGCGGCGCGCGTTGTTGACAACCGTGTCCGCGACTTTTCATGGTCACTTCGTCATCTCACGTATGTCGACCTTACGCTGCCAAATGTTAATTGCGTCTCCGACATGTATTTGATGATCAAAAAACCAAAAGCAAAGAACTATTTCCACGGTAACAATCTTATCTGTAGATCAAAATTCTTTAAATTGTGTATTTTCTTAGATCTGTTATTATTATTATTGTGATTTAATTAGTCAAACTTTAGCACAAATTTAATTGGCTTAGTATTAGGTAATTATAAATACGACTCTGAAACGCAATATTAATTTGTAAAAGGTGAGATGCGGATAAACATAATAAGCGTGTTTTTACAATAAACAGCTGTTTGGACTTCAGCCAGAGTTCGACCTTAACATTGTCTACATGTGATAATTCTTTATAACATATCACTATTCACTGTGCATTCCTGTTAAGATGAGCAATACCGCTTCATATCTTTTAATATCCGTAATATATTATGTAATCGCGTTAGACACAACTTCCTATGTTATTGCCCTGTAATGAGAACATATAGCATATTTATTGAATTAGATATGTGACAAAAGGCCTTGTATTTTTTTTATCTTCATCTCTACAAATAACGGGCTGATTAAGTAAAATTTATCCTTTATAGGCCTTTGTCTTGCTATTGTGATTCCAAGCGCTCAGAGAATTTGTATGAATAAAATATAATCGAACCGTGAACCTATTATAAAACTAAAATATTTCTCAACCATTTTTCTTATCACTTCTGTTCTTTTCAACATTTAACGACATAGCCATATTACATAAGTATTATAGTATTAAGCAATATTCTCCTAAATTATTTTTTGTGTTCCAAAACGCCGGTGCCTAATACAATGTAACTAACCAATTTCGTAATGACTAAAGCTGTAGGTTCTTAGCTCGTAGAAAAATGTTACGGCTCTTTGGCCTAATGATATTGTGTAAGATTTTTATTGCTGGATAAGACTGCGGCATTCCATTTATTTTTTGTTTGCTGTAGCATATGTAATCCGGTTTTTGCATTATCGTTATCAGGACCTCATATGCCTATAATACATACATACAATAAATTGACTAAATTTTATAAATATGTAGTTTTTATTTACTCAACATATTACAGAAAAATAGATATCTGAATCCCTTGTTTGAAAAATACTCCTGTGTAGAAAAAATAGTCGATGTACAAAGTAAGATTGTAAGTTCGTTTTCTATAAAACAAATATACCCTATTTTTATTAGTCGGATAAGATTTCCCCAAGCCTACGAGGCTTGACGCAAGTATTGACATTTCTAAAATTACTTGCGAAGTTGACAAATCGATTTGACAATATAAACTGTGGCATAGTGCTCTGACAAATGACATTTAAATTATTTGTGCTAATCGCTGATGGCCAAGCCTTTATTTTTGTCTAAAGTTTAGGATATCAATATACATTATTTTATTTTTCTGTATTATCGAAACTCGAGAAGTCAAAATGGTTGTGAAGGTGTATATAAGTGGTATTTCTGGAAATAAAGAAGTGAGTAGTGCTGCCAACCCCGGATATTACGGCTATCTAGTTTTTACTGGGCTGATTCATGATTTTTGTTTAATTTTACCACATTCCTTTTTTAGGTAAAAAAGAGACAACAAAGAGTGTTAATGATCTTAGACTCTAAAACCATTAAGTATGAAGTAATCGATATAACGGAACCGGGCAGAGAGGAAGATAAGGACTTTATGCAAAACAATGCGAAATGCAACGGCGGAACTGTGAGCGATCCAAATCCCCGGTCACCGTTGCCTCCGCAGGTCTTCAACGACGAGGAATACTGCGGGGTTCGTAATTCATTTAATATTTTCTCGATACAACTGCTTCAGTTCAATGGCTAATTACATATGCTAATAAGGTATGACTAACACCCGCTTAGCTGATAAGATTCCAGACCAATAATAATAGTTTTACCTCACTTTGCTCAAACTAAAATACTTATGTTTTTTATTTTTAAAGGATTATGACCAGTTTGATCTTGCCAATGAAGTTGATACATTAGAACAATTTTTAAAACTAGAACCGCCATCAGCTGAGCCTCAAGGAACTGATGTAAGATTTTAATTGTTTAGTTTAAATCTATTTAGAAATATAAAAGTTGGTTGATTCATTTTGAATTTTTTTTAGCATTCCATTGTAAATGGCAGTGTTAAAGAGGAGATCCCAGAAACACCACAAAGCAATGGAAAACTTAATGAAGCTGGAGATACTGAAGAAAAGGTTGTTGAAAGTGAAGTTAGTAATGAAAGTGAAGATAGGCATGATGCTAAACCTACATCAGATGACACCCCGTCAAAGGAATCATCAGTAGAAAAGGAAACTCCTACAGATAGATTACAGCCAGAAGAAACTGAGGAATCATCAAAAGATGAAAACAAAGAATCCAACTTAGAAGATTCAAAGGAGGAATCGGTTGTAAACGATGAGAATGTTAATGAGAATGGAGCAGTGAGTTCTCGTGAGCAGTCTAAAGAAAAGGAAGTGCCTACCGTTGAAACAAAAGATAACCCATCAGAAGCTCTGATTGAAAGTGAAAAAGCAGTTGCCGCTGAATAGTCCTCACGTATCCTTGCTTATCAGCTCAAATCATTTATAGCACTAAGCGAGCACTATTCATTTAAATCATTATTTATAATCATTGTTCACGTTATTGCGGAAATTATATCAAATCATTGTATATAACAAGTACTGTTGAGATTTATGTCATTGTAGCTGCATATGTTTAGTATGTATTGAAGTGGCCTACAGCGTAAATCATTTTCATAATAATTCAGTGTAAGAGATATATTTTAACATTGTCTTATTTTATTTAAAGTATTGGTTGTAACTTTATTAACTTTTACACAGAGAGTGCCTCTTTTTACAAGGATTGTATTGAAAAATTAAAGCTTTATTTGCTTTAGCCATATAAAATTTTGATCTGGGAATCCTTCTATACTTATGTTGAATTGAGCTTATTGTAGCTCAATTATTAATGGAGTTATTATAATGTATTGATAGATTTTATGACATGACATTTATTTTAAGAATTTTGCCAATATCAAGACTTTAGTCTTAAGGTGCTAAATTTTAGCCTTAAATGAGCATTCTTGTGTAGTCAGCGCTTTTGTATACTACTTTTAATGAGTTTATTATATTAAATATTCTTCACTCTCTAAATGTTTAAAGACATTTTAACAAATTTTTCGTATAATAAATTTTAATTATTACTAGTTAGTTTTAGTTACTTCGCCTACACTGAAGCCATAGTCCATTCTGTAATCCTCTTAAATTTTCGGCTCCTTATTTAATTATTTTTTGTCAATGGCGTAATCGTATAGATACACAATCTATACGATTCGTAATTCAATTAATAGAGGCCTTTTTTTATTCTTTTTGTCCAGCTCACTTTAACGGTTAATTCGTTGCTTTTAAAGGAAGAACGGGTTTCTTAGATTTCAGCGATTTTTTGGTTGAGTTTACTCAAAGAGTCATAGGATAAGTAGTTACTCAGCAAAGGTATATATCTGTTCGAAAAATTTGAGTCGACATTCAGTTAAAACGATAATATCCACTTCGTCGTTGAAGTTTGTATATAAGTAATATATGTTCCTGATATTCTGTGTAATAAACGTAAAATTATAAACACAATGTATTAAGTGATTATGGAATCATAATCTAGTTCATTTGAATTATATAGATTATCTATATTTTGTTTCATCAGAAAGAACAAACGTGCGCTGTTAACTGTTCCGAAATAAAAATGGGGGTATCGTCATTTTTAGTAAATCCTAAATGTTTAGCTTGCATCTTAGTTTTTCCCTACGTTCTATAATTTTCTTAACTTTCTGTAAAATGTCAGTTTTAAAAATTGACGAGCCAACTTGAACTATGATGGGGGTATCGCAAGTTTATATTCGCCATAGTACTAGGAGCATATGAACCGTAGAGAGTAAATTCTGTGTCAACAAGTGATTAGTGAGGGGGCGTTACCAATGATTTGCTAGCACTAATGAAGGGTGGAGCTTCGTGTATCCGCCTTCTAGTTGTCAATCGATTGAAAAGAAAGAATGTGGGTAGTTACCACAGTTATGCCAAAGTAGCTGTGCGGACGCTGATTCGTTAGCGATGATCTTAAGTACAAATAACTAACGAAGATGTCACCCGCATAAACCAACACCACGTGCAAACTGATAATATTCCTAAATTTATTTTAATTTGATTGCATTCTATTTTAAAACTTGTTGTGTCAGCGACTTCGTCCACGTAGATAAGTTATTTTGGGCATCAATATATGTTTTAGCAAACCTTGTCTTAAGCTATTGCCCACATTGTCGGTCGTGGTCCGTCGTTATTGCAAGTTAATCTAACAAGATAGACACACATTGTGTCGCGGACTTGTCTTTTTAATAATTTAAAAGGAATCATCGCTTCATACATATTTTTGGGTATCTTGAACCGTTTTGCAGTGTATATAGTGTATAGCCTTGGAAACCCATAAAAGTGAAAGCCAGCCTCGTGGGGCATGGGGCGAACACATTTGTGTCCGTTTCACTGATCCGTATTTATTTACAAGTAGTTGATCAGACTTCTGTGCCCTGCCTGACCGAAACAATTTTATTTTTTCTCTGGGATTCGAACCCAGGACCTCTCGCGCTCAACGCAATGGTAGACAACACGTTTTATCATTTGATGAATAATTTTACTAATTTTTTTTTCACATTTCTCTTTGTATCTCCTCTCGTATTAGTCACATCGCGATGTGTTATTATAGCCTATAGACGTCCTTTATCAATTTGAATCAGTAGTTGCTGACATTAGCACGTTGAAACACATAAACAATCAAACTAACTCTTCAGTTTTATATATTAGTATAGATATAGATAGTAGATATATTAAAACCTTTTAACGTGGTTTAGCCGTCTACACCTCACGGGGGAAAAGACTTTTATTAAGTACTCCGAAGAGTTATTGCTTGCAACCGAGGACTGGACAAACAGTATCTAGATCACGTTTACTTGGAAATAAAAGCTATGAAAAAAACAATCATGTCTTTGGGGCAGTCGTAAACGATTGAAATATATAGTTTTTTATTAATATCATGTATCCGCTCTTGAAATGTAGACTGACATATTTATTAAATAGAGAGCTGACGAGAACTGGTTAGTAATAAAGCAAAAAAATAATAATGGAAAGCGTAATATAATTTCATGATTATTATTTTGAGCAAATAAATTCCTTAAAAATTTACTACCTCTTTAACTTAACATAAATATGGAATAACATGATATAAAATCTACAGTGGAAATGTAAAATGGTCAGGTATCTACAGTTTAGTCGACTTTCACGTAGCTACACCACAAACTACTAATAGCCTCTGGAGTTCATTTGGTCTTCTTCATCACCGGTGAGGGGGGGTTGCTGAAGTCTCTACGAAGCGTTTCGCTTAGATCACCAATATTCCTATGCCGAGCCTCGGTATCAGGCAGCTCGTCAAGCAAACAGGCCTGCACGTTCTTGTCTAGAGTGACGAGGCGTTGGCGGGAATTTTTAAATTCCTCAACCAAACTTAAATTCCGTTTGATGCCATCTACGAGTTTGACTACCGAGTATTCGCCCATGGCCGCACCCTCTTGAAGCTTGGACCCAGCTATTTTGGCCATCGATGACGTTTTGACATCGGTCACCAGCTGTATGAACCACTGCCTCAAGTTGTTGAGTATTGTCATTGGTCCCTCATACTCGTTTGGCACAATACCGTCCACTTCGGATTCAAAGAAGGACAATAGGGGGAACCATATCCGAGTTCTGAAAAAATAAACTGATAAATTCTTAATCAACTCTTTTTCATTTATACTAATATAGAAAGCTGAAGAGTTTGTTCAAATTGAAAGATTCTTTCTGCGTTTATTGAGGAAGGTTATAAAACATCGCGATGTGACAAATACAATCGAAAAAACAGCGGGAAATGTGAAAAAAACGGGGAAAATGAAAATCTCTGTGAGTTTCCGATGCCTACGCTGCGAAAAGTGGTCAAGATACCCAAAAATATGTATGAAAGCATGATTCCTCTTTAAACGATCTAAAAAAGGTCCTCTACACTAAAGGTCTATATTTTAAGATTGTCTTGAAAGATCGACGGGACGCGTCTGACGTCGGGAGTAACAGCTTAAATCTATAAAAATGAATAGGAGGTGCAAAAACAATTTTGGATGGCCAAAATTACTATTCTACGCGGACGAAGTCGCTGACACAGTTATAATATGAGGCCGCTAGAGGCAGAGTAGCCTAACTGCAATTTTACGACATGATTTATTTCTATTTTCATAATCTAAAAATGTTAATCTAGAGGAGCACAGTGACCGAAAATTGTTAACATAATTCTTACACAAACAATAGTACAAATTCACAATCCCCATGATTTGCGCATTTATATTTTTCTTCTTGTTGAAAATCGTGTTTTTAATTATAGGCCACTCTGCCTCTAGCGGCCTCATATATAAGCTCGTTGTATAAGTACAAAAATATATTCAAGAATTTGCGTATTTCAGTTAAAAGGGTAAAAGTATCAAGGAAATCAACGTTTTTCCATTTCCATTTGTTTTTCATTGTTTCCATTGATTGATTACCTAAAAAGACACATTTAATAAATTGTGAAAACTTATTAATTAGATTATATTTTGAAAAACTGATACATTATTACGTATTAATTATTCTTACGCAAGTACTTGACCACAAAAACAAGAACGAAGTGATTTCAAAATGTAACCTAAATATTTATTTATTTGCGCAGAATTCTCAACCTTGAACCGTGACATTTGAAATTTGTACCGAGATAAACATTTTCTCTGTTGTAAGAAAACTATCCATACGTGATGTCTTGTTGGAGTAGGATGTTTTGTAAATTCCGTTTAATATTTTAAGTAAGATTCTGTCTTTTTAATGGATACTACTTATTTATTACAGCTTTATTATTTATAATACACCACACAATAGAAAGGAAATCTAAAAGAGAAAACGGCGGCCTTATCGCTAAGCAGCCATCTCTTTCAGGCAACCTGAAGTACAGGAATAAGGAGTAATGAAGGAAAAGCAACGAGTAGGAGAGAAACTTAAGAGTTAGAAAGGTAAAACTTTAAGTAAACTATTAAAAGAACGGATATAAAAGAAAGAGGTTTTATTTAGGAATAAATAAGAGGAGATTATCGATAGAACAGAGATTTAACTGATGGGAACTCAAAAAACTTATATTTATTTATATGGATTATAACACGAAAGAGCTTTGTTTTATCTAGGAATTGGAACAGTTAAAAAAAATATTAGATCATTCAAAACCCACCTTGAAGAGTCGCTTTGCATGAGCGCTTGGTTGTTCGAGAGCGTATGGTAGTACAGAAAGAGACGGGAGGTGATATAGAACGCGATGAAAACATCAATCGAGTAGTGTTCGTGAGCCGCAAGGATGAAGAAGATGCCGAACATATTCATCACCCATGTCAGGATATGCAGCAAGTACAGGCTGCGCGAAGTATCTGGAAAACAATACATACAGATTATAAGTAACAAACCTATTAATGTACGATTTTAAATCTTATAGTTTTGCGTTTGCATGCATTGCTCATGGCATGTTGTACAGACACAAACTTGACTTGAATCGTTTTGTTTGACGGGTTCGTAGTATCGGTGGTAATGGATTGCCAACATGATTCTAATTAATGCATTTTTTTCTGAAACATGTTGGACTTCGTCTGGAAGTATAGATATTTAATGTGGCAGTAATATCTAAACTTTCGTTAGGTTGAAATTGAAAATGAGCTCATATTGTTTAGGTGGTATATGGCAGGTGTATTTTACCTACCATCTTGTGAATCCCAGTTGCCTGGCCCCCCCTCTATCTTAAAATAAATTAGATGAAGAAGCAATACTTCCTAAAATGCTAATTGTCTATAGTAAAAAAAAATCATCGTCTTTTTCTAGAAAGGTAAATAAGCAAACAAATGCATAGATAACCGAGGACAGCGCACGAAACCAGGAAATGTTTATGTTTTTTCTGCGCAAAGCATTTACTCTCCTGACAAGCAATTAAAACCTCAATGAGCAATAACTATATTCCAGGCGAGTATACAATAATAATAAACGTTTAGCTATAAACTTTTAGTTCGAGTTGACGTAAATATTCTTAGATAATCATGTTTTATTGTGTAAACTTGCTCGCACTTCCTTGTGCGCAAAACATTCCGCAATATTTTATGTTACAAGTACAAATAGATAAGTATGTTAATGTTTTGTTTTGAATATTGTGATTATGATAATCATTTTGTGTCACTTGGAAAACATTGACGATATTATGAAAATTGTTATACTAGACAACAAAAGTTGTTAGCTAGAATCTGGAGCAAATTTGATATGATTCAATTATATTTGAGTGATAGAGTGGCGGCGAGTTAAAAGCTAGCTTTTTCGTTCGTTCTAAACCGTAACTTAAAAAGTGTCATTGTATTATTTACATTTGGAGACACCAATCTAAAGTCAGGTCGGGTCGGGTCACAATTTAGTCTACACAGTTATTTGGCCATTGCTCCTATAATTGTTAATATATTGATCATACGTGTGTAAACAATAAAAGAAATTTAAAATATAATTTGGATAAATATTTTTGGTATTTGACGCGAGTGGTACAAATTAAATAACACACTTTAGTTAACTAGAATCCACCACCACGGCTGCTGTAATTATATTTTGCGTTTTATGCCTCTACAACTGTTAATTGGGATAGATTTTGTATTCAAATAGCTAGTCAGGGTTTAAAATATAACATCGACCGACATTTGTGATATGAAAGTACGCAAGAAGTAAGCACAAAAATATACTCCAAGGCAATAACAATAAGCGACAAAAATTCGTCAACTTTATCAGTGTCGCGCTATGACCATGACGAGCAACACGAGATCCAGCCAACATAAACGACCATGAAACTAGCAACATATCAAATTTATCGCATATTGAATGTATATGTTATATGTGTGAATCATATCACTAGTTTTCTCTTTACTAACTAGGAAAATCAACGTAGCCAAACCAAGGACAAAACTTACCCAAGTTATGCAAACCAATAAAGTTAGATCATAAGAACTATTCATGATTCATATTAATATTGTTTAATCAAATGAGTTTGTTTGTCCATCTTTCACATAATTGTAAAAGGAGAAAGTGATTTTTTACAATATAATTTTAATATCTAAAAAATTTCAAGCGCATACGTGTATATATTGTTAAACACATAGGAGTCTAGTTTTAAGAGAGTGTGGTTTTAAATCTAGGGAAGGCAGAACAAGTAGTAATAAATAAAATCAATTAGGTAAACATGCAGAAATGTATGCCCTAATTTCATAGAGAAACACTAAATTTCAAATGTGTAATAACTCAATATCTATTAACTCTTGTAATTTTATCTTCCACACCTATTGGTTAGTCTTTGTCCTTGGTGACGCATGGGCACCTTATCAATTGTTCCGTTAAAATTATACTTACATTCGGTAATAAAGAAATTGAGCAAAGTGAGCGCCACTGTGTGCCCTGAAAACATATAGTCGCCGCACGTCCTTACACCGCGAACTGACATTCCAGCACCACTCCAAATATCGTAGGCCTGCCGGAGCCTTCGCCCCCAGACGGTCAGGTCGTCTGCGGGCGGGTAGAACCGTGGCTCACACTTCAAATGGGATCCGGGCACCGATAGCGATGTTATAAGCATTGTAAAGCATCGTAATAAGAACACGGTGCCCGCTAGCGCAAAAAATCTCCTTAGAATTATAAACCTAGAAAATAAAATTAAACATTTTCAATTGTGACTCTCTCAAGCGCATTTATTGTGAGCTAAGATGGTGTAGTATAAGAGTAAACAAAATTCTTATCAAAACAAGGTTACATACTGAATTTACTGAGCTTGTTATTAAAGACAAAGGATGTTGTGATGATTCATTAATGGGACAAAGTACATTTGTTTACTATGCTCTTTCAATTTGTAAATAAATATAACAGCTTTTAAAATATGTTTTTACAAAATTTCTCTCACAATGAGAAAGCTGATAACACATTTATTTTATGTCAGTTATGATTAATGATATCTGAAAAATCCAGTACTTTCTAAATTTTTTACTCAATCAGCATTAAAACATCATTAATGAAACATAATTAGTACATTAATTATTTTAAAAGCAAATATATAAGAAATATTATTACAAGAACCACATTGTAAGATTGTCATTGTTAAAAAATAACTATATTTATCACAATATCGAATACCTAATGATGCAACAAAATAGTCTATAGAAGGAATGTCAATAAAGCACCTTCAAACTGTGTTAATGATTTTGAATGGGTGCCAATAAGGAACATTCCAATTAATTTAATTTAGATTGCAATAAATTTATGACTCAAACATAGGAAATGGACAGGACATAAAATAAAATTTCTAGAGTTATCTAGAGTAAGCATACCTATGTTTGTGGAAGAAGAGTACTGTTAGCCAAATGGCCATTAAAAGAGAGCCTGTAATCTCACACATATCGAAAGCCCACGGAATATGGGGGACATTGTCGAGGAAGAGATCAGGAAGAGGTGGATATTTTTTCATATCCGGTACTTTATCATGCACAATCACCATCACTACAGCTGTCACCCAGGTCACTAGAAAGACGTAACCTGGGAATAATAGAGAAAATGTAAAACTCAAAAAATCATCATACAACTGTCTGTACAACCAATTTAAAACTACATTTTACTTACCTAAGGCAATTGCAGTTTTCCAGATTTCAGGTTTTAATTTAGAGGCCTTAATATCAGTGTAATTGGATACACAATCAGGTGTTCTCCCATATAATTCATTTTGTAATTGGCTATGAAGATTATAACTTAAATGCGAAAGATTTGTACCCACAAAATTTATATTGGTCGCTGGATTCAGTAGGGAATCATCATACAAACCCAGCTCGCACATAGCATTTCTATTATTTTTCTGCAACTTTTTTACTAACAAAATAAACCTTTTCCTATCGCCGAGTTTTAATTCATCAAATGGATAATCATAAAAATCTCTGTCTACAAAGCAGAGTAAACATCTTCCATCGATATCCTGAGATTTACATATGTCGACTATAACACTGCTTAATTTCTCTTTATGTAATAATTCGATGACTTCTTTGTTGCTCCATTTAATTATATCTGCATCCATTTTCATACAATTTTTCAGACACTTGGTAAATAGCTTTATTTTCAATTTAACTATAAAATTTATCCCGAGTTACATCAAAATACACACACTTCTAATATTATGGTAACTCAGAGAGAAAGTGAGGACATTGTTTGCAGATTTAACTTTATTCTACATAATAATAATTAAGAAACTGAGTTTCTTATATCCCTACTACGCCATGACAAGCGTCACTTTGACAGTTCACTTCTGTATAGTGTATCGTTAATTTGAAGTCCGACAGTGACAGCTGCCACAGCCCTTTCAACTGATAGACAATAATGCGATTAATGTTTTACATAGATTCGTAAATCATTATAAACCATCAATAAAAGCTTGGTATACTTTAACTACAATAAAATTATTCTTAATGTTGAAAGCAATTTTAAAAGGTAGGTAAATAAAAAGTATAATCGATAAATTGCACATAACTTTAATAAAATTGTGGATTTCATATTTCATAAAAAAAAAAAACATAATATAAAAAAAAGCGAAAATAAATTGAAAATTTTTTCGACTCGGGCAGGACTTGAACCGGCATCGCACGCGGCACGGAACGACATTATATAGTGCCCTCATTTGCAATAACATGTAAAAAATAATAAAATTTTCAATAGTATAATATAATAAAAAAGAGTTATAGGCAGTGTACTTGGACTAAGTACTTTATACTGATTTGAGCTTCGTTGTACACGATGTATCTGAATGGTCAATAAGAAACTTATCTTATTTTTTGTATATCAATAATTCAAATAATGTGTACAATATATAAAAATATAATAGGCCACATCAATGGTTGTAGTTGATAAATTAGTGGTAAATTTGAATGTTGTCAACTTATTTCTTTTTTAATTTCTTAAACAATCAATATTTTGCAATTTTATTTTAATGTTTGGCGCCAAGACATTTTCTATTATACTGTAAAAAGGATACTCGTTGTAGTTGAGTGCCACTTCTTCAGGATCAATATCACAGTTAGGAACTACATTGCCAAGCGGAACAACAGTTCTAAAGTTCTAACGTTGGGAAGAACAAAACCTCTATAACGCTAGGATCTGGGTGATTTCGACCCACACCCCAAACGGAGTGTACACCTTCAGGTAAACTGGTAATATATTCTTGAGTAACACATTTCTTCCTGCAAAGATAAACATGAATTCAATGGCTTCGGATTTCTACAGTTGTAACATAGTTAACCTATATCACACACCATACAAATCTACAACTACCGCACAAAATCTTTTTTAAACCATGTTTTATAAACATTGGATAGTGGGTCATCATTTATTAGCACTAGCTTAAAATATATTCCAAATGCGCGTAAACTACAAATAAAAATGAATTATGGATGTAATATAAATAACAGGTTTCTTAATCCAACGGTAATAATCGGGGAGTTGGGTTCGATTCCTAACTAAAACTAATCCTAACTTAAATGTCAGGGAAAACCACGTTAAATGGGTAGTTGTAATATCAAAATTCCGTCCAGATTACGATTAGGTCTCTGAGTGTAATCTGAGGATTATATTATGGTTTTGGACTGCAAATGTCTTGCAAAATAGCTTGGGTATTCTTCTTTCCACTAATTGAAGCGAAGTGAAAATTAATACAAAAAAAACATACATGTTCCCGAGAGCCACTTCGCATAAAAGTAGCACACCTTGTGGGTGATCAGGGGTATGGCGTATATATTGCGAGGACTTGCTAACGACATCCGCGAAGTATATACCCTGGCCGAACATTGCACCGGTTATATGAACACCTGAGGGTGCTATACGAAGGCCTGAGAACAACATATAACATAATAAGGCACTATAAGATTTAAAAATCGAAAATAAATTCAAAAAAATTTCGACTCGGGCAGGACTTGAACCGGTATCGTCAGCATTCCGTGCTGTTGCTCTACGACTCGCTAGGTCAATTGGTAGAGCAACAGCACGGAACGCTGACGATGCCGGTTTTTGGTGTCCTGCCCGAGTCGAAAATTATTTCAATTTATTTTTTGATTTTTAAATAACAAAAACCTCATGAATACTTTTACTATACATGCGTAGGAGTAACAGATGCGAAACAAATCTAGATTATATTTACCGATTCGTATCTTGGGATCATACCTTTTTTTTTCTTGGGTTTTTTATTATCGTGTGAGGGACTTTTGAAAAACACAGTCATTAGAGTTGAACCAAATATAAAATTATATTAAATGAATATGATGCAAGTACCTTGCAATAGAATAGCTTTAATGTTCGAGAGTCGAGATCCATGCCACAATAGCTTCCTCTCGAGAGATTTATAAGGTTCGAACATCTCCGCTTCTCCTTCGCGTTCAACTTTGAATATCTGTAAAAAATCCAGTAACATAAGAACTACAGTCTCAATTGACAAATATCATAATGAACTAGGGCGATAATGTAAGAAGAAGATTGAAAAGTTATCAAAAGAGCTACAACAGTGTATATGTACTATGCCCTACGTAGAGTTTAAAAAAAACACTTGTAATAAATGTACATGTTTTAAGATTGGGTACTGCGGAGTACTGATTGGTGGTTTGTGACTTATAATTATGTGAAACATTAAAATTCATTTAAATAAAACACTTTAACGGTTTAAAACGCGATATATTTTTTAAAATTTTTTTAAAATTTTTTTTTACTTCCGCCCCCCGCTTTGGGTGTTTTTTGGCGGCGGGGGGGGGCGGGGGGGCCCCCGCCGCGCCCCCCCCCCCGCCGCCGGGGAAAAAAAAAATTTTTTTTTTTTTTTTTTTTTTTTTTTTTTTTTTTTTTTTTTTTTTTTTTTTTTTTTTTTTTTTTTTTTTCCCTTACTTTTTTTTTTTTTTTTTTATTCATATTATGTCAATTTTAAATATATCGGGAAAGAAAGATTATAGTGTCCGTATGCTGTAAGATAGTATACTGTTTTTCAAATGTTTCCCAAACCACATTACGACTTCTTGAACATATATTGCTAAATTCAAAGCTTTATAGACTATTTGTGCTTTATATAATGGACGTTAGACTTATACCACATACCTTTTCAATTTGCATGCGACACAAATGTTCGGATGATTGTGTGTTAATAAAGTACTTCATAATCATACTATACTCCATCGATTCTTCATCCAATGGCAAAATTTCAGTCTTTAATTTCATATAATATTGCTCTATTAAGCTGATAGAGCTGTCCATTTCTATAACAGTTATATAAAATGAAACACAAAACATTTTAAGTTATGTTTAAAGCTGATGTTAGTAGTACACATTTAAATAAAACACTTTTAATCGCTAAATGTATTAGTTAAGATATTTTCAACTACGATTAGACGTTACGCACGCATGCATGGTCTGAGATAACTGGGCACTAACATGACAAATATATTTCACGTTTTAAACTGTTAAAAGATAAAATATTTCAGTTACACATTTTTAATTTTATAAAAGAAAAAGTTGTTCCTTATAAAAGAATCCAATGAAATTATAAGATTATTTCGCATAGAATAAGTGTTCTGTAAACTAACGACTCACCATCTTCCAGTAATTTATAAGATATATGAGTATTTTTAAGGTCACAGAGCATTTGGATTTTCGTTAAAATAATATATCTGTTGTCCAATAATTTCAGTTTTTCTATGCCACCTTTGTGTGGTATTTTTGTGTAGAATCTAAAAGGTAGAATGGAGGAATCAGACATATAACAAAAAATTGGCGACAATTTCAAATATAGGTTAATAGTATTGCGTATTGTGCCTTGGTCTCTGGTGTTTAATATAAAACAGACAGAACTATTATTATATACTATTGCAATACGGTGCGAGAATGATATGTTTAAGTCGCACAAAAGAAGGTAGGAACTTTTTCGAACGAAGTTAGGTCCATGTTACACTTGTAAACAAAAAAAAATTGAAAGAAAATCTTTAACTAATTATTCATTAAATAATATTTAAACCATACTTACTTATTTGACAACTCTTTTATCGCGCTAGTATGAACTGTCTTTTGATCAAGAATTTCCAACAGTTTCCACAGTATATTAAAACCCATTAACAGTTGTTCGTCACACGGAACGCCTAAAGGCATTTTATTTGTATCGATCTGTAAAGTTATAAAGGAAAAGAATTAAATAGTGTTGTTCGTTTTATGTATTTTATTTAAGGCAAGAATATATATTCAATAATAGAGAATCAGTTAATTAAAAATGGATTATAAAAAATAAAAAATTACGACTCGGGCAGGACTCGAACCGGCATCCTCTAATCAATTGAGCTACTGAGTCCCACATGTTATCGACGATTTTTTCAATTTATGCACCTCTCGAACAATACAATTTCAATAAAAGTACACAAATTAGACTTCTTACAAGAGATCTGGGGTTTAAGTGTGAAATAGCAGAGAATGGTTTTCTATCGGTGTCACTAATAGAAAACAATAATAATGGATAGAGAAGACAAAGAAATTATCTATATTTTAGTGCACAAAGTAACTAAAACTCATAAATTAAAAACAAAGAAGCACGTCCAAGGAATTAATAATCAAATCCATAGAACCACTTATCACCTCATGCTTGAACTAATACAAATTATACTAAAATCCACCACCACTTCGTTATAACACATACATACACAACATACAATAAATAACATGTTAAATCTAAGGTTAACACTAGAAACTACAATGAGTTAACCACTGTTACTAATAAGACTATGCAATAATAAAATTATGGCAAGTTACTAGTATATACTAAAATATTGATGCCGAAAAAGACACGTGAAAGATATTTGTTACCAAAAGAGATTCATAATTTTGAAGCCCGATAACTCTTCAAGATGTTAAAACTTTGAATGTGAAAATTCTGACACAAACGGGACTGGAACCCGCAGTGCTTGAAGTACCACTAATCATACTCATACAAATCACTATCATCTGAGCTACTGTCTCTTGTCGTCGATAATCACAATTTTCACGTTACTTCTTCATTTAGCAGAAATTCTTGAAATAGACAACCTGAAGGCAGTTATTTGTTTTTTAAGAAAGCAGTATTCTAAATTAAAGAAACGGTAGGTTTTTTTTAATTAATTTTATTTTCATTATAGCCCGTTAATAGAAATGAAAGGTGACGCCCACTGATCGTTTTGGCTCCTTTTGTCAGTTCTATTAACTTTCAATCTATACTAAGATATAAAGCTGAAGAGTTTGTTTGTTTGAATCACTCAACTCTCTCAACTCAGGAACTACTGTTTCGAATAAAAAAATATATTTCTACGCGGACGAAGTCGCTGACACAGCTAGTATGGTAGTAATAGGACTATACGAGACTCAGTAGGAAATGCCTACTTGATGGAAACAATTTATAATGCTTTACAGGATTTTAAATTCATTACTTGTAAATCAATATTAGATTATAATTGTTATATTATATGTGTATATTGTAAATATTATACTCACTTCAATGTCAGCGATGGTTTTATGAATGATGTTGATGTCAAATAGCAACTTCAGCAGTTGCTGAACTGAGACAGGCAGCTCACTTTGGGTGTCGAGGCTCAAATCTCGCACAGTGGGCTGGTTTAAATCAGCCATTTGAATCAGATCAAATTTACCGTATTTCTGCAATTAATTATTTATATAGGAAAATAGTAGTAGAATAAAAACTGTTTTTATATTTAATGTAACAAATTAATCAAAGAAGCGACTAAAACTAAAGCTTTTAATCGACAAAGTAAATATGAACAAAATAAAATTGCATCATTGCATTAATTATTAATGGAAACCTTTATCTTGTCGTCGTTAAAAATGTCGAAACAAATATATTTTTCGCTTTAAGCCGGTAGTGTTTTATTTAAACGTTATTTACACATTATTGTTTTAAGTAGGGTCTGGCGTTTCGGATGCTTAGCAGTAGCTGTTGTCACGGCGAGACTTTTAAACCAATAAAGTGTATTATTTAATTTAAACTTTTTAATGTTCTAAAAACCTTGTCAAAATGAAACCTCTCAGCCCAAGTGTTGCCAGTTTTCTTGAAGAAGACATCCTTAAAGAAGGCTTTAGCTTCACCCAAATACTCTTCAAATTCTTTTATATCAATCTTTTGTTTTGAACCAGTTTCTCCCCAGCTGCTTATAACGAAATATCTGTAAAAGAATGTTTACTGTTTTATTTTGTAGGATATATAATATTTATGGGAAATATGTAACAGTCCATTCATATGCATCACACACACATATGAATTAATTAATCAATAATTGAAAATTAAACAAAATTTAAGTATACCAGCACTACCTAATATTATATTTATAGTAGTTACAGTGTTATTTTATACATAATTTCGAGTTTAAAGCTGTTAAAAGAGTATATATGGTATATGACGAAGAAAATTATGATTTTATATGAAACAAGATAATAATTATATAAAACTAAAATACTAACGGTTTACAACGCGATATATATTACTGTGATTTCTTTAAAATTAGCTGTGGCCACGGGTCGGTCTCCCCGGCTGTTGCAAAGCATCCGTAACGTCGGGCCGTAGTTAAAACGATTACCAAATAAGTTTAACATAAAATATATCACGTTTTTAACACGTACGTGTTTAATTTAGATGTGTACTACTTGCGTAAACTACAGACAGTATTAAATAATTATAATTCTTTAGGTCTTTTAGGTTCAATAGTTGGATTTATTTTATTATTATACCGTTTCGACCGATCGGCTTCAAGTAATTGCAGCACGTAGCTACGGTTTCCACCCTGCGTGGCATTCACGTCCACACGGTTCAAGGTGGCGGAGTATGGATTCCCGAACTCCCTGTATACGTGAGTACGATTCTCCAAACCGGTGCCCATTACTAGTGGAACGCCATCTGGAGGAGTAGATTTCAAATTTATACTGATAACCAATCCCTATCACAAGATGTGTTCTCGACCTATTTTGGTTTTGGTTAATTATGTTCTTGTAATGAAAAGGCACCGATATTACCAGCGCAAGCTTGCAGCGTACTTATATCTGGACCGCTTCAATCCATGACTTACAGTAGTTGGCCAATAGGTCTATGCCCGACCGAAACAATTTACTGTCGGGATCCGAACCTAGGACCTCTCTTGCTTTTGCGCGTTGCTTAATATTTAGTTGAAGAGATCATTATTTACATCCATAGTAAAAAAGCAGTATAAGGCCAATGGCAATGGCCGTTTCAGTATGTGGATTTCCGAATATCCAAAGCCAAAATAGATCGACAGCGCAACTTGTTTAGATTTTTATGTTTATTTTATTATATGGCTTGAGTATATCACCTACCATCAATTAAACCCATGCTAGTCTGTCCTCATAAGTTAACGATGTTGGTGAGCATGAAGGGGGCTAAAAATATGTGAGCCAGTGCCTTAGATATAAATTACCTTTGACTTTCAACGACGAAACCTCAGATTGGTTCAATGGTATGTACATGCCGCTCGAAACTCTAAGTGGTTCTCCGTCAAGAACTTGGCGAGGCACACGGGAATATATCTGAAATATAATATAGTTAGTCACTTTTAAATAAAACACTGTAACGGTTTAAAACGCGATATATTAGTTAAACTTATTTGAAAATGATTTTTAACTTCGTCCCGACATTTCGGATGCTTTGCAGCAACCGTGGTCATGCCCATGACATGGCCCCCCGTCGTGTCCACGGTCGGTCGCTCACGGCCCGTCGATCTTACAAGTTAATCGTAAAAGATAGACATATAGCGTCGCGGAATTTTTCTATAGCTATTATAGTTTTATAGTCTATAGCCTTCCTTAATAAATGCTCTAACCAACACAAAAAAAATCAATATAAATCTGTAGTTCCTGAGATAAGTGCGTTCAAACAAACAAACAGACTCTGCAGCTTTGTATATTAGTAAAGATAGATAAAGAAAGACGGTTTGTACGTGTCACGTTGAGTTTATAACACTGTTATTTTTACAATTATAGTCTTAAAGACCAAGAATTGAATATAATAAAAGGACGATAATTATAAACGGCTTCAATTCTAAGTAAAATAAAATCACAAAAAAAGAATATCCTATATTACATAACCTTTATTTCATATATAACCGAAAGTTGTGGGCACAAATAAACTCGAAAAAAAGACACGCGCTTATATACTTGTCACCATTTCTTAGTGCCCTCCTTTATGACGTCATCTCAGTATAATATCTAATCTAATAATAATATAATACATTTTAACGTACGTCAAAACTATGCTCCGAAATATTTTGCTCCTCAATGAGTTTGATGGAATCATTAACAGATATGCTACCTTCTACATATGTTTCTAAATATTCGAGAAAACTTTCTTCCACCACCTGAAAATAGAAGAGGTATTTTTACATGAAAATACATTACGTTGATGATCATTCACCTATTTGTGTATTATTGAACGCGATAGGTTCTAGGTTCGATTCCCGAGGTAACAAAGCAATTTTTTCTTTCTCTTTTTTACTATATGTATATATGAAAATAGTAAAATATTGTCAAAGATTATTTTGTTAACAGAGAAAAAAAACCAAAATTACTCTTACATGATAGCCGGCCATATGAATTTTTTTCACAAAACTGTTATTTTTCTGTATCGCCTCCTTTGTCGAAATGACTGCGGCGACTGTATCTAATAATTTGACGGCAACACACCCGCCGAGCCTCAAAATGCGACGCTTTATCATCTCTTTCTTGTCAGCTTTAAACCCGTATATGCAAAATTGCACGTTTTTTAAGGGCGGCTTCGCGTATTCCGTTTTTATTCTGAAAACGTAATTATGTAAAAAAAACTACGAACATGAATGAGTAACTTATTTGTTAATACATACAAAGAAGATTTAGTAAGACCATATGTATAAAGTTCTTAGTTCCTATAAAAACCCACTTCAACCCACCACATACTATTTAATCAGGTAATTTGACCTCTCTGCTCTGTCCGACCGAAAAAAATATGTATCACCGGGATGCAAACTAGGTGCAAACATAAGTTTATTGTAATGAACATCATTAATTACTGAGCCCTCGAGACGGTGATTATATCAGTTTATACAAGTGCATATATGTACGTACTAGCTGTGTCAGCGAATTCGTCCGCGAGAATCGTTATTTTGGCCATCCAAATTTGTTTTTGCAAACCCCTTCATCGTTATATACTTAAGCTGTTACTCACGACGTCGGTCGCGTCCCTTTCCGTCGTTATTGCAAGTTAATTTTAAAAGATAGTCAATACAGCGTTACGGACTTTTTTTACATAATTAAAAAAGGAATACATCCTTTTATACATATTTTTTTGGTATCTTGAACCGTTTTTCTAGCGTACGCCTCGGACACCCTAAAATGATGAATAATTTTCCCATTTTTTTACATTTCCCGCTGTATTATCGCTTGTATTAGTCACAGGGCGATGTTTTATAGGCCAAAAATATTTTTTCAATTCGAAGATGTAGTTCCTGAGATTAGCGCTTTCAAACAAACGAACAAACTCTTCAGCTTTATAATATTAGTATTAGTATACCTTTTAGGTGATGGCTTTAATTCTAGCGGCGGTTCCTCCGTGAATATCCGCTTTTTCAATGTTGGTCTAAAGTTCTTAAATACAGCATAGTGCTGAAGTTCTGCTGGTATTGTCATAACAAACCTTCTTGGAGACCTGGTTTGATAATCACATGTAGTCCATGGATTTAGGAATCCTAAAAATATATTAAAATGCAAATAGTTAAGTTAATAATTCTGAATCTATTAGTGAAATCCTGTGTGTGGGACATGGGCCGAAAACATATGGAGATTAAACTTCCGTGTCCTGCCCGACAGAAACGAGTTACTGTTTCCTCGATATTCGAATCCAGATCCTCACTGCTTAACACAACGTTAGGCAACACGATTGACTCCTGGGCTAAGGACGCAGTTTAAATCTATAACGGGTTTAAAAAGAATATGGTTATCCCAAAAAAGGGTTGAATATAATCGTTAATCAAGCGTTCCACACTCAGGATCCTAGGCCGGGGGAATGAACTAGGAGCTATATCACTTTTATATATACAGTGCAAGAGCTAAGGTCGGTACTTACCTGTGCACTTATAGTAAAACGTCTTCAACTGCAACTGTCCCCTACATTGTGGACAGCGTTCAAGAGCACCAAATGCCATACAGTCTGCCAATAAGTCAAGAGGCTGAAAAATTACTTATTCATTTATGACTTCGGATGTGGGACAACTGGTATAATATGAATAATGAAGTGAAAGTTTAATTTTTTTTTTGATAATTAATGATTTTTTTGAATCATCTTGATTAGGTATGCGCCCGAGGTGACCGCCTCTGAAGTCAAATTGTTAAACACGAGGGGGAAACGGGCTTTCACACACACTTCCTTTTCTTTTTTTGATTAGGTATATATCCTGGTTAAATGAAATTTGAGTCTGTAAGTTGCATTCTAAATTAAATTCAATTAATTGAATCTTGCTTTAAGTAAAGGACTATTGTTCAGGGTTTTATTTTGGATGTAACCATACTTGTTCTTTGTTACAATAATTAAGACAATACACACCTCTTCTGTCCCCTTAAACATTTTAAGATTGTTTCGCTTGCATAAAATAGCCAAATCTTTTGTAGACACAGTCTGCAAATTTTCTTTATAACCATGAAATAAGTCATTTTGAATTTTTTCTTCTAGTACATTGTCTGTCTCATCAACGCTACTCTCCATATATTCTTTGTTCACTTCCCCTTTCACATTACACTCAACACCTTTCGATCTAAATTTACAAGAATATTAAGATAAAATTTAAAAACAATAATTTATATCCTATGACGGCTTAAAGCTTGTTTTAATCTGTTACACAGGCAAGATTGAGCCCCATCTAAATATTACATTTTTATGTTCACTCACCCAACTTTGACTAGATATTTTTTGATACCAAATTGACTTTCCGAAGAACCACCACCTTCTTCAGTCTTTGTCTTAAGTATTTCGAAATTGCTTGACCTAAAAAAAATGGTTTTTATAATAAGTTAGGCTTGGCATAGCTATGTACATATGATATGATGTACTGCATAATTTTTTTACCATTAAGGCAAAGTATATTAATAACGTATAACAGTTTTGCTGACGTAGCTTATTATATATATATATGTTTGCCCTAGGTGTGCCATGGTTGTATTAAAAGTTTATATTGGAATAAATTTATATAAAGCTGACTTAAATATAGTAGTGAAATACCGTTTTCCCTCGTAGGGCATTGTGCTAACACATTTCTATATCCATTACACATATCACTTTTTTTTACAGACAAGTAATCAGTGATCAAACATTTGTGCCTTGTACCAACCGAATTAAACCGTTTGTTTATTTTGACCCAGGACATCACCTAAGCTTGCAGAAGCTTAAAGCAACTTATAAAATTCACTATTATAGATGTATAATACCTTAATATTGAACTTTGAATGATAACTTTATCATTGCTAGATAAAGTGTCAAATCCTGGTAAACAGTCACCTTCAGCATAGAAACACAAATCCTCTTTAACATTTGAAAAGCACCTCACATGATAGCAATGTTGAATTTCTCCATATTTTTCTTCATAAACTGTTTTCGAGATCCTAATATCATCCTGGAAATATGAAAAAAAAAGAATGTTATCATTTTGTTTAACCAATCCTACTTTGTTATTTCAAACAAGACATAAATGCAATCCATGTAGGTATAAAAATGCCTCTTAATAATTATCATTATTAGACGACTTGAAATGTCATCAATAAAAGAAACAATCAATTTATACATCCTAGTTTATATTTAAATGTAAATATAGTGAGGATTACTTGTTTGGTTTACAATTACTTAAAACTGTAGTCTCATACCTTTACTATTTTTATAAAACATGATCGGCAAACAGCTTTTGAGTTGGGAGAGGTTTCTACAAAAAATTGGTTTTGGCCAGCTAATTCTCTGTCATATGTGTTTTCAGATGTATTCACTGTAAGAAGAAAACAATGATTTCAAAATAGTTACAGCTAACAAATTTCTTGTTTTTAATTTGAACTATCTTTATATTTTAACCAACCTTTAAGTTTCTTAAAGTTTTAATTTTTTTTATTTTTAATACATACATTTCTTTACAAAATGATTTAACCGAATATAACAAACATTTACCAGTAAGGAACAGGTAAATTGTGGGACAAATCAACCCCATGTGACATAAATTTCTCACCAAGTTGAGCCTTTATCCTCTGCTGATCATCATATCTAATTGTATTAAACTTATCAAACTGGTTAGCAGATCCTAATCGCTTTCCTTTCTTGAAAAAGCATGTTTCATGATACCACTTTTGTATGTAATAGTCTACTGGCTAAAAGGGAAATATGTACTATCTGTTATGCACAATCAAATATATAATCATTACATACAAACTTATTTACTTAACACAGTACAGTGAAATTCATGTTATTAATCAATTTAATTAACTTAAATCACTTACCTTAAATCGAATTCCAATTCTTAATTCTTTCTTTGATATATTGTTGTTGCAACAATTACATTTTGTTTTATCAGACTTAGCATATTCAATAATATAAGGTAACATGATACTAATTAAAAGCAATATTTGTAAACCGATTCTATGATTCAATAGTAGTCTAATAGTTAAATTTTGAATTATTATTCTCAGGTTATGTGAAAAATAAAGGAGATATATATTATATTTTGTTCAAGTTTTTTACTTGTTTGGCGGGAAATATAACTTAGGATGATTAAATGACATTTGACAAGGTTGTCAGTCAACAACTTCAAAAACAGTTTTTTTTTAATAATATTTAATGGCCTGGTAATTCAAAAACAGATATTTTATTTAGGTACACAGTATACCATACATGCATATTCTTATAATCAATTGTTATCTGTACAAGTATTCAACCAAAACAATAATTAATTACTGATGAAATATGTAAAGCTAAAATCGTTAATTTCAATTGACTATATCGTTTTACTCTGCGAAATAGTCCTTAGTTTTTATTATAGCCGTTGAAATAAAATGCTAAAAATATTACAAGAATACGCCGCTTTTTTTTCTTTGAAGCTCTTTTTATCGAAGTAGTTCCCGAGTCTACTTTTAAAGTTACATTTGTAATTTTGTCTGAGGGTCTGTATTGTTATATCGCTAGTTCTTTGTATTATTTGGTTATCAGCCGGATTAGAAAAAAAGCGTTATGTAATTGAAACACTTTAATATCTTATATAATCAAATACAAAATCAATAATAAATCGCTATAGAAACAAATTATTCTAAAGCTGATCGCCTTTAAAAAGAAAAATGTTTCGAATCGAGTTGATAAGTATTCTAAGCTAACCATTAAGTTAGTTAGACATTTGAGATACATACATTTTTAAGTGTGAGAAGAAAAACATAAAGTAGGTATATTTTTCCGAATAATACACTACAAATACAGAGATAGGCAGGAATAAAAGAAATTAAAATATCCACGACATATAATTTTCGCAATTATAATAAGAACAAAAACTAGTAACCGCGGCAATTAAATGGAGACTTTATTTTACTTTTACTTAAAAGTAACTTTCCGTTAAGTTAAGTAAGTCCGTAACTAAGGAACGTTTATCGAAGGTATTTATATTTAGCGTAAACTAACAATTAACAACAACATTAAGAATATTTAAAGAAAAACAAGTAAAAATTATTAATTACCAAATGTTAAACAAAATATACGACAAACCTAAAATTTAGCTGCACGTATGAATATACTGGCACTCACTTCCTTCGGCTTTGCTAAATTTCTTAACAAAACCATATACATACATCTTTTCAGATGTAAAATGTAAGTAGGTAGATATAATATCACATACTACACAAGAAAACAAATAAGTTTCAAAAATTAATAATGATAATCAACATATAACAAAATTCAGTATTTGTAGTTAAACTTCAACTGTAGGAGGTATTTCACATTCACTTGGGCAACATCGTACACGATGAATCTGCATGGAGTTCAGGAAATTAACCGATAGTTAATTATGAACTGGTATTACACAACATCTTTGAAATTGTCTTGAAGATTTTAATAAAATTCTTAAAACTTAAACTAGCAGCCACAGTTTAAATCACGGGTCGGGTAAGGCAAAGAAAGATAGAATAGGTGTCTAATTAGTAAGATAAGTGTCTGTCTATGCAAAATCTTCCATAAAAAGATTATCAACTACTAGCTGTGTCAGCGACTTGGTCCGCGTAGAATCGTTGTTTTGAGCATTAAAATTTATTTTTGCAAACTTCTACATCTTTACAAATTTAGACTGCCACAACATCTTCGTTCGTTTCGACGACGAGTTCTTCCAAGTTAATTTTAAAAGATAGACATTTAGTGTCGTGGAATTTTTTTTAAGGTTATTTAAAGAGGAATTATTCTTTCATACATACTTTTCGGGTGGCTTGAACCGTTTTCGCAGCGTACGAATCTCCCACAGAAATGAAAAAATTACCCCGTTTTTTTCACATTTCCCACTGTATCTTCGCTTATATTAGTCACAGCGCGCTGTTTTATACATATATAAATTATCCTTTCTCGATAAATGCTTTAACCAATACTAAAATAATTTTTCAATTCGAATTCCCTTAGTTCCTGAGATTAGCGCGAACAAACAAACAAACTCTTCAGCTATATATCTTAGGATAGATAAACATATATAACTTAATTTTGTAAAACGTATTAAGAATCTTACTGTTATAAGTCATTTAAATAATACTTGTTTAGATTACAAAAGGATACTCGTTGTAAAGTAGCGAGGTTTTCTGTGTATTTTCCACGGCTTTCCCAAGAGGTACAATCACTCCATCATCCAATATTTTGTTCTGCGCCGGATCTGGTTGCGTACGCCCCAGACCCCACACCGAGTGCAGGCCGGCCGGCAACTTCGTTATATAATCTGCTTGTTTGCATTCTTTCCTAAAAATAAATAATATTTTACATAAATGAGCTCACAGTTGGGAAATCATAATATGTAAAAACCTGTTTTTATTTATTGACAGTCCAAAGTGTCCAAAATAGGAGGAACCAACTGGGATTCACATAATATAGTAATGAAGTAATTTTTCAGTTTTGTAACTTACATATCACCAAGTGCTACTTCGCTAAGTAGCATGAGACCAATCGGATTGCTAGTATTTGTTGCACAGTAGTTGGCTGATTTAGACACCATATCGGCAAAGTAGATACCTTTACCGAACATGTATCCGGTAACAGGTGCCTCGGGCGGCGCTATACGGAGACCTGGGTAAGTCAAACAAATATTTTTTACTTAATGTGTCTTTTTGTCACAGTGTTAGTACTTATATGAACACGTTAAATAATATTTCAAGGATTTATAAGCTAGGTAATGCCAAGGCCAAGGTTTCAAATATATTTAATAAAACTTTTGAAGAGTTGAACATACCTTGAGAGAGTATTCCAGCGAAGTTTGTGACCCTCGATCCATGCCATAGTAGTCGTCTATTGTGCAACTTCCTGAACGGTTTGTAACGCTTATCTTCGCCTTCCCTGACCACTTTGAATACCTTTTAAAGTAACGTATTATGAAATTGTTAGTCACGTTTAATATATACTACTTACGTACGTACGTACGGAATATGGAATGCTTAGGAGAAGATTTTAGACAGATATTACACTGGACCTTACAGACCAACTGCATTGGTAGTAGTTGCGGTCTACCTACCAGCCTGTGACATGATAATTAAAAGCCAAAGGGAGGTATATGTCGTGTATACGTTTAAAGTGACTATTACTCTTATAAAACAAAAATATAATCTTACCTCCTGTAACTCAAGCGTATAGTTGGAGTGGGTAGCGCCATGTGTATTCTTAACATATTCCGATATCATCTGATATTCTTCACAGTTTTTGTCAAGAGGGCCAATTTCCGCCTTCAACTTCTTGTAATTAGATTCGATAGCACTAACACCCTCCTTATCGTCTAAAATATATACATGACTAAAAATAATATTGTCACTACACTTAGTCAACTTAAACTAAAATAACTTACCTGTGTTTAGAAGGCTATAGGCAATCTCAATTTCAAGAAGGTTATCCAACATTTGAATTTTGTTTAATATGCTTTGCTCACTATCCAGTAATGGTGGGTTGTCCATGCCAAAGTTATGTGGGACTAGAGTGTAGAATCTGAAAAAAGATGGCGCTATTACAAAATTATATTGGATCATATAAAAATCGGTTCAACCCTAACTAAAGTGGGAAAGTTGGTTGCAACTTTTGCCTCTCCTATATGTTACCGACCTGTTAGTCGAATCGACTATTTTGCTGTTACTAGCTTTTCCTTTCTGCACAAGACCAAGCAGCTGTGATAGCACGTTATAGCCAGATTTTATTTGTTTCTTGGAAAGCTTTCCTAGAGGCATTTTTTCCGTATCAAGCTGAAAAAATTTTCGCGATAATTATAGAAACCATGAAACATAGAAAAAATTGGTGTATGAATATCTTTAAATTATTTAATTTCTCCAAAATACAGGTATATAATTTACAAAGCGTAATACATTTATTATTATGCTTGTTTTAAACATATATTTTGGATAATTTTTTATTATTGTGTTTGAATATTATGGGAACATTGTAGTTTTGGGCATACAAGGCAGAAACAACATGTTAGTAAACATTAAACATAAGATACACACTCAAGCCCCCATATAGGGGAAATAGTGTTCACATCAAATAATTTTTTTCAAGAATTAAAGGGTGTATAGGGTACCTCGAACTCAAGTAGTGTTCTCTTCATAGTGTCTATATCAAAGATCATCTGCACTAGGTTCTGTACCGGTAGCGCTAAGCTGCTGTTTTTGTCGACCTTCATTTTGCTCTTACCCTTACTCTTTGCTTTGTCACCATCGCCATCGCCATAATCCACTTCTATTGGATAATAAGCTTCAGGCATCTAAAATTTTAAAAAGCAAGCCTAAAGTCATACCCTTGCCCAAATATTTATTATTAAAACTTGATTTAAGTAAAATAAGATGAAGAAGATAGCACCTATTAAATTAGTTGGATAATTGCGGCGTGGGTTCGATGGTAGCTAGTGTTGTAATCTTTTTTAGTCTAAAACTTTTGAAAATGCAAACGTAAATGACAAAAATGCCGTTAATTATACTTAATATACAACTCTTGTTTGTTAATATATAATTTAAACATATATTAAAGTTATGAGTATCCAGACCAATGAATCATCAAATAGTACCTTCATAAAATCATCGCGCATCTCCCAAGGATTTTGAGTTTTCTCCATGTATAGATCCTCAAATCTCTGAGTTGCGTCATAAAGCGACTTACAATCTTCAACTTTGTTGCCACCAATGGGTGTACCAATCCTCCCCCAAGCGCGGAACAACCAGTATCTATGAGGGAAATGTATTTCTTTGCCCATAAAATTATCACTTTTTGATTTTCAATTGTTAAAAGAATTTGTATATTTTCAGTTAAAAACATTTCAAATAATAATAATTATATTTAGAAGTTTCTTATGCACACGCAATTAAGCTCAGAGTTATTTAGTTTTTCTTAGCTAGCGGAAATACAAAAATGGATATTGTACTTTTTTTTGTTATCCGCCTCTAAAACTTGGAGCTTATAGTATGAGTTCTTGCCAGCTACAACATCCGTCTTTGACAATATCACCGTGTATTTGTTACCATCGGAATCGGTGTAGACATGGGCCTCATCTGCTAATCCAGAATCTGGATCAACTGCAGTTCCACCTTTGATAGATATATTAAAATTAGGAAATAATAAATATATACAATTGAAAAATCCCTTTCTGAAATAAGCTAGATCTACTATTGTTAAATTAATTTGTGTAGTAGTAGAATATTACTAGGAATAAGTTGAATTTTAGTTGTGATAAAATCTACCTTTGATCTTCAGCTTCGTAACTCCGGACGATTTAACGTACATGCTCCCAGACTTCTGAATAGACTTTCCATCTATTACGTCTTGAGGGACGCGCTTAGTTGGCTAAGAACAGAATATTCAAAGGAATCTTATATATTGTATGTATTGTCTATTCAGACAAAAAAAGAAAAACGTTTAATACACAGCATACCTACCTAGGGCTTAAAATAGACAACAGATTTACTTGGAAACCGCATGTCACGTTTGTTTGTGAAAAGTTAAGAGCAATATTGTCCAAATTAAGTCTGCTTAAGTCCAAACTAGAATATTCGACTTTAAGGCTTATCTATAATGCGCTAGCCGATTCAGTAATCGGGTATGGACTCAGCAGCTACGGCAGGACCTACAAGACCTACCTTAATAGTATTTACAACTTACAGATCAAAATATTAAAGACGATAGCACCGAGGGTCTATAAAAATTGCAATAGTAAACATGAGTTATTTGAAAAATGCAAAGTAATGCATATCTTCAACAAATTTAACTTTTTTTATTTATGTGAAGAAATAGGTAATATCCAAGAATTAGAAGTCAAAAAAGACCAGATAATTTAAGACCCCTCCAATATCTGCCTAGATATGTTCTGCCCCCCTTTTAGCAATGCTTACGGAAAGCGCACACGAACTTATCTATTGCCCTTGCTTCTGAACGAGTTAGATGAACACACGCACAGTAAACTAGTAAAAGATCCGGGAAGAAGCAAGGCAATTCTTAAGCCGTTTTATGCTAGGTAGTTATAGACTTTATTTATATATTAGTTAATACTGTTATATTGTTTGCCTTTTTTTTGTATTTTTAGTTAATTTTAGTTAAAATAAGTCAATATTGGAGTCTATATGACTCGAGTAGCAGATAAAAAACCGTTATAACGGTTTAAAAAAATGTTTTTAAATTGTATATTAGTTTTGGTGTACAAAAAAAAAATCGCGTATTAAACCATCAAATGTTTTATATAACAAGTAGTAAAACTCACATATTTCTAAATAAATCAAAATTTAAAATCTATTCTTATATGTAAACAAAAACCACTATTTAAAAAAATGCTCCCTTACTTTAAACGCTTTTTTTTACAAAATTTAAATCAACTTACATCAGATCCCCATGGTGCAATGTTATGGTGTTTAATAAGCTCTAAGGTTTCAGAAACAGTCCCGATTTTCGAATTAATCACGTCTAAAAACTCTTCATTCACGACCTTTAAAAAATAAACAGTTAGAATACAAAAAAAAAGTATTCTTTTTACTATATTATTAATACTTTAGATATTGCTTGGATAACACTTAGAAAAAAGCTGATGTGAAAATATAGACTACAATCCACTACAAATGTTATCCCAGTGACAGTTAAGTATATATATGGGAACATACTTCAATATCTTCCTCTTGGATTTGTTCCATTTTGCTCGACATTTTCTCCAATTCCTTTTCTGTAGAGACTACAGCGGCTAAAGTGTCCGTAAGTTTGCTCGTTACAAGGCCACCCATTTTTAATATCCGTTTTTTTATTTCTTCTTTATCGCCTTTAAACTTACCATAGATGAAGAATTGTAGGTTTTTTAGAGGCGGGTTTGGAAGCGTTTTCACACTATAAAATAATAAAGTTAGTATATAGTACATATCAAAAAATAATTCATGTAAGTTGTAATGAACCTGGCTTAAGTTAATTAAGTCAAAAGAGTCTCAACACTATTCAAACTCACTTATTTTCTTCCTTCTTCACAGGAACGAATGTCTGCAGCGGCGCGTTTTCAAATAATCTTTCAGCTACTTTGGGCTTGTATCGTTTAAATGCAGACCCATCTTTGTATGCTGACGGTACAGCCATAGGCTTTCTTTTTGGATTCCTTGTTGTATAACTGCATTTTGTCCACTCACTTATATTTCCTGTAAGCAATGACAATAAAAAAATATTAACAACGCAACATCATTTTATATATGCTGTCTTCAAATTAAACCCAGTTTTTGCCTTTCTTTTTTGTTATGAAGTTTTCCTTTTTTCATTTTCTTGTAACCGCCTTTTTTCCCCCAGGTTTTTTTTTCCCCCCCTTTTGAAAACCCCCGGCCAACGCAATTTTCTAATCATTTTATTGGATAAATCAATGTTAAAACAATACTGGTAAAATCTTTCATAAGTGGTGGAGAAGTTCCAATTGTGTTAAAAATGGTAGATATAACTTCTTAATATATATATATATATAGATATTGTTAATACATTACCTGTACACCTATAGTTAAAAGTATCTAATATTAATTGACCCTGTTTGCATTCTGGACAAGGCTCAAGAGCTCCAAAAGCCATTATATCTGCCAAATGGTCCAAACACTATAAAACACAATAGGTCTATGTTTAATGAATATAAAAAAATCATAGCTAGTGTTATTCAATTCACCTTCTGGAAGAAGATAATTCACTGTTGCACAGGAGTTAAAATTTACAGATGTATCAGAAATTTAGTATTCTTGTTTGTAAATTGTAATTTTTAAAATTAAAAATATATTCCTTCATTTAAACAAAGCACTCTATACCTCTTCATTGCCTTTCAGAATTTCCTGTAAATTAGCTTCAAGCAATTCATGTAGATCATTCTTGCTTAGTTGACTTAACAGGCCCTTATATTTGTGAAATTGTTTGTTCTGCTTTTCCATATCTTTATCAAATTGCTTTTCTTTTTTTATTTCTTCAGCATCTTTTGGTTCTGACTTTAATTTTTTTACTGGCCCACCATCAGCACCAATAGGTCTACAATTGAAAACTAATTTTATTGACTAGCTCTTGGTGTAGACTACAAGACTACTAAGTTTTAATAGTAATGTTATACTTTTATATTTATATGATAAATCTAAGTAAGGCAAAGATGATATACATACTTAATTTCATTTTTTACTACTGCCTGATCTTCCTTACTGAGTAGTTTAAAACCAGGGATATCTTCTCCACCTGCTAAGAACAAAAACTCCACTCTCCTTTCTGCAAAGCACTTAACATGATGCCAAGCGGGTGCATCACCAAATCTTGGATCAAATACCATTTTTGAAATTCTAACTTCATCCTACAAAAAATATATGTTAAATCTTTTGACCACCAAAAGGTAATTAATATAAATTTTAAATATTATGTTACCTTGCAAATTTTGATATCACAATGCTTACATGAAGCCCTACTTGACTTTGCATATTCCACTGAGAAATTTGAAAGTCCAGGCTGAATTTTATCATCCTTTCTCTTAGTTCCTTTACCTTTTTTCCCCTTTTCAACAGGCATAATAGCACCAGATGTGCTACCTTAGAGATAAAAAAAAGGAGACATAAATCTTAAGTTAGTAATAAATCGTTAAAATTAAAATAAAAAATAATTTTAAAGCAAAGAAACTTCTATGATATCATACCCAATAATTCTTTAATTCGTTTCTGATCATCATATTTCAGTTTATTAAAGTTGCCTATTTCTGCTATTGTAGGACACTTTTTCTTGAATAAGCATTCTTCATGGTGCCAGTTTGGTTGTTTTCCATCATGAAATGCCGACTATAATTTATAAATAATTATGTTAAATATAATATTTAATTCTAGTGATTATTTGTTCTGTTTATTATGTGTTAAGATGATCTTATCTGAAGACATAACAAACCAACCCAGTATAGAGCGAATGTTTTATTCACGGTTTAAGTTTTACGCACAAATTTTTAAGCATTAGCGAATATTAAAAAAAAAATTATAATAATATTATACTATTTCGCGCTAAAGGGCCAGATACAGACTTTGGCGGGTTGTTTGCGGCTGTAAATTACTCTCGAGAAAAGTAAACATACACTATAGGTACTGCAACACGTTCAGCAAATAGACTTCCATTACTAACCTGCACCATAACAGCTATTCGTAAAGTTCCCTGGTCTATTTTCTGTTTGCAACCTTTGCATGCTGCTCTCCCTGACTTAGCATACTCAGCTTGATAAGGTAAATCATTCATTTTAATGACCTTTCATATAATGTTCTTTACCGGCAAATGGAGATCATAAAAAAATAAAAGATTTAAACTCCTACCTAACTGTCAATATTGAACCAGAATCATAGATTAAGAAAAAAATAAAAAAGAGTATAATATATTACCCTTCCTTTGAACTTAAACTGTTACATATAACTGTCAAAACTATATCCTTTCTGTCAAGTCTGACAATTTACCTAAAAGTGCAAAATTGCAGATTAGCTAATGTACTGTCAGAAATCAGATACATTAAATAATTTAATTGCGATTTGGAAAGAAACAAGAAACCAATGGAGAATAATTTTTAGAAAATATTTTAGGAATACAATTTTGATATCAACATTATTGTTTATTATATTCATCTTTAATATTTATTTACTTTTTTCACATCATATCGTCATAATCGGCGAATTTAATTTATTTCGTGTTTATTCGGCATTATAAAAACATAGGTATCTTTACTACCTTCTTTCTGGATTCTATTTTATAAAATACTACACTTACAATGAGTAGAAAGGAAACATTAAAGAAAGCCCTAGGCCTCACTATTTATACATGGAGTTCAGGTATTATTTCATTAAAACTATGTTCAAGTGGTGTAAGTTAAAATAATAAATAAGTTGTGTGTTTCTATTAGACGATGAACTGACGAATGCTGCTGAACTTCCTTTCGTCCAAACTACACAACCCAGGCCATCTGTAACTAACCAAGTTTTAAATAGATCCAGTTACAGCAGTAAGTGCTATTTATATTTTCTTATTTGATAAATTTTTATAGTTTTATGGTTAATATATAAATAATAATATTTCAAACACATATTGCTAGTTTGTCATAACAGTATGTATAGGTGATATTAAATAACAAAGTTCCTATACTTCTGGATTAGAGAGGGTAGATAAAACTGTATACACACACTGCATTTCTTCTACTACTAACTGCTATGGTACTTTTTAGCATCTACCTACGCTGCTGGGAATATGTCAAGACTAGAGAGAGATATGTATTGGAATATGCTCCTTAGTGGTCCTTCTTCATTCTGGTAAGTGAACACAAAGAATTTATTAATCACTTTTGAAACAAGTAAATTAATTACATTACTGAAAGCAGGGGATCAGCTTCGTATGATTGCGCAGAAATGCAGCAAATCAATCCAAATTGCCCAGTGTCTCAACTGCAAAGACTAGATGCTATAAAGAGGATATCAAATTTGAACAAATTAAGGAGGAAAAATGACCGAGCTAGAAGTAAGCTAATACAAATTTATGCTATAATTATTTTGGTCTTGTTTTCAGTCAACAATATTATTAGTATATAATATAACATTAGATATTGTAGTTATTAGAAATTTCTTTGGAAGAGAAGGTTTAAATCATATGGGCAATTTCTTTATGTAGGATAACTAATTGAACAATCGAGGGTAGTAACTTTAAACTTTTTAACTTTTGAAATAAACCCAGAAAAATTGCAGCATTAGTGTGTTTAAATAAAACACTTTAACTGTAACTTTGCACCAGCCTTGGTCAAGCATCCGAAACGTCGAGCCAAAGTTAAAAATCATTTTTAAATAAGTTTAACTAATATATCGCGTTTTAAACCGTTAAAGTGTTTCATTAGTGTGATTAAATTTTTATTAATATTATCATTTAAAACAGGGGTTAAAGGTAGTTCTTGTTGCAGTAATTAATTTAATATCATTATTGTTTTTAGATCATATAAGATTTTAATATGAGACACATGTGTATACAATAACTCTTTGTATATTTGTCTACTTTTAGGCACTCGGAGCGCACAGACTTCCCAGAATGATGCTAACACATCAGAGGCAACTACATCAGCGGGCAGTGGTGAGCTGTCTTTCAAATAAATCTTTACTACTGAATCATATATTGCAAGAATATTCAGACACAAATTTATTAAGAGCTTTTCATTTTTAATGCAAATTTTCTAACTAAACTATTAATTTATTTTATTGTTAAGTTATAATTTTCAGTTTTAATGTTTGCAGATTAAGTTTTTTAATTATGGTATAGATACCAGTTATGTTGTATACGAAAAAAATAAAATAAAATTCTAGTAGCTTATTATAGTGAGCAAAGTTCTGTATTTTTTCAATAAATTGCTGCTGCTCATCTTCTATGGGGTATGTGTCTACTTATGGCAAACATATTGATCACAGAAGAAAGCATTATTTCTCAATTAGCCTCTAAACTAGTTTTTCATCTTCAACTTCTTCTTTCACAGCTGGTCAAGCAGATAATGAACAGGATCAAGTGTTCCTTCCTCATTCAGAGGAAAATTCTAATGATAATGAGGGTAGGTAATATCATTTTTATTTCAATCTATGTATATTGGTTATTCAATATCGTATCGTATCATTTGTTATACGTGTATCTCGAGACAAATCTGCATAGCATATGCAGACTTGTCTGACTATTTATAATTTTTGATATTGGAAAATTAATACAAATGCGATCTTAAACAGAATCATTGGCAGCGGACCCGTTGATAAATGGACGTAATTTGCAAATGCGACCACAGACGCGGGCGCACAGCATCGCCATCAACAATCAAATGAACGCATCTATTCAAGAATTACGCGATGAAAATAGAGAGGTTTTATATATTTTAATCAGACTTATATAATTATATGTAACATAACTATGTGTATTTGTAACAATAACTTCAAATAGGTCCACTAGATTATTTATACAATAAGCAACGTCAAACATATTATTAACTCTTTTTAACATGAGGTACCTACATAAGTAAAATCCCGATTTCATTTGAGCGGCACGGGGGACCACATTTCCAGAGTCCGTTTGAAGTAGTACATCAGACTTCTGTCCCATACTAGATCGAACCAATTAATTGTTTCCCCGTGATTCAAACTTAGGACCTCGCGTTTATATTATATACTAGCCGTGTTAGCGATTTTGTCCGCGTATAATAATTATTTTGGGCAACCATTTTTTTTTTGCAGTCGTCCTCGGTCGCGTCCTCTCCTTTCCAGTTAATGTTAAAAGATAGATATATAATCTTGCGGATATTTTTTAGATCATTTTAAGAGAAATCATTATTTCATACATATTTTTCGGGTATCTTGAACTGAAACTTACAAATATTAATCATTTTCCCCGTTTCTTCTACCTTTTTAGATTGCGCTATTTCATAGCGTATAAGATTCCTCGATAAATTATCTAATTGACACACAAAAGACTGCTCAATTCGAATCAGTCAGATCTAGCATAAAGAAGCCGTAGAGAATCATTTCTAATTATCACGACCAAACCGCTCAAAAATTCATTTAGGTTTGATAAGAGATACTAATCTATTACAGGAAAATGAGGCAGGTCCTAGTCAGGTCGAAGTCCCACAGACCAGACACTTAAGGAAAAGAAGACTTAGTAAGTGTGCCATTAGTTTTTACCCACAAAATACTTTTAAAAAAAGATTAAATGCTACTCGTGCTAAATCTAACTACGATCGGACGTTTCAACTTTTTCTGAAAAATATGTAAAATGTATTATCGTAATATAAGTTAACAAACATATATCGGTTTAATTTTGTTTAAAGTATTCTATTTAATGCTGTAACTAGACCTTAACTATAGTCAAAGAATAATATTTTAAGGAAGTCCAGCAGTCAGATTGGCTGATGGCGTTGGACTGAGAAAGAGAAGTCGAAGAGGTTGGTATCTCTTTTAATATAACTCCGTTTGGTTTAGGATGAATCTCATTTTTTATATGATAGAGGAGGACAGACAAGCATGGGTTCAGTTGATGGGAGGTTCCCCAACCATGTAACATCCACACAAAATGCGCTGTCCGCCTATTTTGGTTTTTCTTGTCTTATTCTTGATGTTTGATGTTTATACATAAGAAATCTCATACCTTAGCTTATTTTGGAATCATTTTTTTTCATTAAGATGTCATATTTTGAAACAATTTTCTATTCAATTTGATAGGTTAACATTAATGTTGCAGATAACTTAATAATGAACGAGCAAGGTCACCGTGGACAGACATCTACACAGAGCGATGCTAATCCGACGGATGCAGTTATTGTTGTCAACGGTAATTGTTAAGTGAAATCCGCCCCGTCCCCCTTATTGAACACGGAGCGAACATGTTAATGTGCCCGTATCACCGATCGATTTTATTAATTACAAGTAGTTAATCAGATTTTTGAGGCCTACCACCTATTGGAAATAATTTATTGTTTCCCCAGAATTTAAACTTACGATCTCTCGTGCTTAATCCAGTACTAGGCAATATGTTTATCCATTGACGTTGGCTGGCGGTCAGTCGGTGTTAACAGTAATAAGTACACAAGACCCTAAAATGCCTCGCATCTGAGGGAAATATGGAGGTTATATACCACGCCAGCCAACATTGATCGATGTCGCTTGACAGACGGAAATGGGAGGTCCGGTACACATACAACTAGAGCAACGAGGCTCTTATTTTACTACTAATCTTTAAATTACTTTTAATCCTTGTCTAAATTTAAGGTTTTCCCTTTCTTCGATTATCCAATTGTATAATTCATTTATCGCGCACATAAACCGTCATTAACTTTTCAATTTTAAAATGTATTTAAGTTCTCATTTAAATTAGCATGTTAAAATTATAATGATTAAAAAAATATATATGAGTCCTCCTCCTCTTAAAGAACCAGAAGAAATAGCATTTTCTTGTATTTTATCAAGTTTTATAAAAAGCTTACCTTAGTAAACAATAACTATTTTGTGTTTAGCAAATTTTCTGTAATACTATTTTTTATTGTGCAGATGACGATGAGGAGAACGTTCCAGAACAGACACTGTCCCGGCCTGTTCATAATCTACATAACGAAGATGATGGTAAGATATCACGATTATAAGATTAATTTCGAATTTGGAATTGATTTTCACAGCAAAAAGGACGCGATTTTTTATCTGTGAAATTTAAAATAAAGACTTCTATGTTCTGTGTTTTTCATAGTACTGTCATTGAATAACATTATCTATTGTGTTAAAAAACTCATTATCACAAATAGAAAATACCCACAACAAAAGAGAATATTCGCAAACAATACATCATCACATTTTTTTTGTTTTTCATTTATTCAATTATTTTTGTTTCTTTACCCATTGTAAATAACTGCAATATAACGTGTAATTTAATATTTAAAATAAATGCTACGTATAAATATAAAGCAAATTAACTATTTAACTAAATTGTCGCGCTTTGGGACTGGAGCAAGAAGTATTTTAGTTATTAGTAGCCGGAGCCACTTTATATTTAATATATATATATTTAAACAATCGGAAATTATGATTTATTGTAATAGGTGTTAATGATAATAAAAGCAATGTAAGCATTTTAATACTAACATATTATTTTGTTTTATGAAGCAGAACCAAATCGTCCGGACCCACTACTTAATCAGACCAATTCGGAAGAAGCGGACAGACAATTTCAAAGCCAAAGTGACGTCCAAAGCGCTGAAACGAGCACCACCAGTCGTGCGCAAACGCAGGAAGAGGAAAATGAGGTACGACTTTACTATTTTGCTAAATGTAGTAACGCTATAGTACATTACTACAGCGGCCAGAAAGAGAGTCAGGCACACATACGTCAGGCTATCTATAGGCCTAGTTGCGGCCTAGGCTTGTAAAGTACTTTTCTCAAATAATGCGCGAAAATTAAAACAAACGTTTTTTTCACAAAATAACTTTCTACATGCGAGCCAGTTCGAAAATTAAATTAAACCTTTGATAACATACCTATTTGGTAGCCATGTTGCGGAGTAGACGATAGTTCAATTTTTATTGACACGACAAATGTGAATTTTCTTACACCTATTGCTGTCCGCTGCTCCAGTAGTATATCAAGTTGAAGAAGGTTACCAAAATAATGCTCAAGTTTACGAGCACGTTTCAGAAAGGAGAAATTACTACTATTTTAAAAGTTTTCTAAACATATGCTTTACAAGCGACATTCATCAATCGTATCGAATTACTTCCCTTACTAAATAAGCCACATCTGCCTAGTTAAAAGATGGATTACTTCTTGGGTCTCCAACAGAACAGACTTTTAAGTTAATATGTGTATTTTACTAGAAAAATAATTTGTGTCTCTACTGGACACCTGTGTATCGGTGTCTTATTTTTATTGATATTTTATACTAGCTGAGTCAGCGACTTCGTACGCATAGAATTAATATTTTAGGTATCAATTTTTGTTTTTGCAACCCTCCTGTTCAACTCTATAAATTTAAGCTGTTACCCACGACGTCGTGTCCACGACCCGTCGTTCTTACAAGTTAATCTTAAAAGATAGAATTAAAGATAGACCTAATTTAGTTTTTTTTTTCAGGCAACTGTGGAGGATAGGACATTACCACCACGCAAACGCTATAGAAAACAGAAAGGTATGTATTTTTTTAATGTAATGTAATGTGAATCTGTACTTACGCTAATTATAGTAAGAATAATTCTTATTTACCTTATAAGTATGCACAGCGTTGACAATAGATATGTATATAGAGAGATAAATACATAATACAGCAAAACACATAAAATAATAATTATGCTTAATTAATTCGCACCATGTTTAAGATAACTTTACTGATCAACATATTGAAGTACATGTCTTTTGAAATTATTAACAGAAGTAAAAGGCGTTATGGTTCTTAAATACGCTGTTAAACAGTCTAGAAATTAACTGTATAGAGGTGATTGAGCCATAATTATTTTTGTAAAATTTAATGAACATTGGAGAGTAAGAAGCAAGTCGGCAATTAAAAGATGGTACGCAGAGTCCAATTTAAATTAGAGTATTTCAATGGATTATCGTACTGTTTAAACATGTATGATTTTGTTTACATGGTCAAGGGTGCATTTTGTCTTTGTGTATGTATAAACGCCGAAGTAATTTATAGCACACTGCAATTTATTATGGTTGTAAATGTTGTAAGGAAGCTATTGAAAATTTAAATAAAACACTTTAACGGTTTAAAACGCGGCGCGTGACCGTGACCGTCGGGCCGAAGTTAAAAATAATTTCCAAATAAGTTTAAGTAATATATCGCGTTTTAAACCCTTAAAGTGTTTTAAACTATAGACAGTATTTAGCTATTGAAAAATTTGTGTATTTTTTTTCGCGGCTATAATAGAGAGCTCTTCATGTTCTGGAGAACTCTGTAGTTCTCAGTATCGGAATATTTTATTTAAGCAACTTCTTATATTTTTTACAGTGATCAATGACAGGTGTGCTGCCCTTTTGAAAGAATTAAATGCGGTATGTTTATAATGCTTATATATATAAATTAAGTGTTTCAATAAATATCTAGACAGAAGTGGTAAAGATTGATTTCTGTAGGCAAAGTTCAACAAAAAAGTGGTGTAATCATGCAAAAAGATATATTTATATTATTTTTAGATTTTACTAGTACTTGTCACAGCGCTCCTCTCCTTAAGCTAGAGAGAAAGGGGGGTAATGATATTTTTTTTTTAACATAATAATTGGAGACGTTTCTTATCCAACTGTTTGTTTTTTAATCAATTGAATTTCCACCGCTATAACCCAACAGTTACCATCAATACATGTTGCATATCAACTTACAGCGTATTTTTTTTAAACAGAAACTCCTTAGTATTTTGGAGTGCCCGGTGTGTTTGGAATGGATGGAGCCTCCGATCACACAGTGCGGGCGAGGGCACCTCGTCTGCCGCAGTTGTCGTTCGCGTCTCCAAGCGTGCCCGTTGTGTAGGAAGGAGTTTTCCACGGTTCGCAACCGCGCCATAGAGGCAAGTGACTCGAACCATGAATTATTTTAATAGCTCAGACGCATTAGTATATATCTGTGTAATATAGAGTATATCGCACTCTAAGGCCTTACTGAAAATCAGTTTCAGGTCAACAAACTTACACAACAGACTTATGGTAGCAAATATATCAAATATCTTGATCTTTGATATATTTAGGATTTTTCAAAACGCTTTTTAAAAAAGCAAATCGTATCTAAAGTTTACGCCAGTAGTACACATTAAAATAATATTAAAGGTTTAAAACGCAAAATGTACTAGCAAACACACCCGTTAAACACGCAGCTACAAGGCGAAACGTCGGTTCGTAGGTAAAATAAGTTAACTAATACATTTCTCATTTTAAACCGTTTACAATGTTTTATTTAAATATTCGAAAAGTTCAAAATACACACGGGACCTTTTGGCCAACATCGCGTCCAATTGCCACTAGATCGATGAGGCGGTTATGAATGTCAAGAAATATGTAGGGGTGAATCTTAAAAACGCTGCGTATTAAATGTTTAATGAATTAATATGTTCAAAGGCTGTCTCGGAGCTAGTGCGCTACCCGTGCCGCTTCGGCTGTGGGCAAGAGAGGCAGCTGAAGAGTCGTGCTGGTCACGAGTCGAACTGTCACTTGCGCGTTTACCGCTGTCCGTCCACCGCTTGCGCCAATCGGGATCCTATGCAACGGGCGGAGTTGTCGAAGCACTTCGAAGTAAGTCATTTCTATGAAAATATTCTCACATGTTATTGCACATGATGGCACTATATAGAATAAATCGATTATATAAAAACGTGACTCGGTAGAGAAATAGCACGAAATGGAGTCGTTATTTTTTTCAATGTATGATCGATTGTTAATTCATTCCTATTCAGTTATCAGGAAACTTATTGAACGAGGCTCTGCTTTTCAGCAACGTCACTCGACTGTGTCTTTGTAAATTAAAACCCTGCTTTTATATATTAAAAATCGATTTAGATTAAAATAAAATTACTACAAGGGCAGCCGGCATCCACAGCGTCACGTGTGCTCTAATTGATATACCGTGTCCTCCACGTCATCGTCTAATTTTTCAACATCTTAATACACTATATAATATATACAATATTTAATAATTTTTCTAATTCATTTATGATTGTTGAAACATATAAAAACCATTGAAATAATTCTTTTTTTTAGACTCGGCACCCATTGTATGTGAAGCGGGGTCGATACCTTAAGCTGCGCGTTTGGTTGAGTCGCAAAGAGAGTGAGAACTATATAGCAATGGTGGGGAATGAGATGTTCAATGTGCGGCTAGTGGTTGACCCGCGCCGCTGCGTAGTTATCTACGTCACGTACATCGGGCCTGTCGCCCAAGCCAGGAATTTCAGTTACGAGGTAACTTTGGCTTGAGATTTTCTTATCTCATAGAAAAGATAGTATAAGATATATTTTGATCCACCACACTATTCCAGAGCGGGTTGGCGTTTGAACGCGCAAATCTCTGGAACGTCTTTTCCCCGTTTCCGTACTGACACAAACATTAATATGTTTGAGGGTTTCCTTTGCGTGTAGTGTGAAAACGGTTCAAGATATCCAAAAAATCATTCTTTCATATTTTGTACCAGAACAGAACCTGAGTACTCATTTGCAGACGCGGGGCACTTAGTGGCGTGTGTTTTTCTTTCTTCTTCATTTCTTTCTAAGGTTTATTTACTTCCGAAACAGGTGTTCCTAAAAGGTCAGAATCGCAACCGGAAGATGGTGTACAGTCGCGAAACGCATCGAGACATTGAAAGTTATTCGCTGATCGCTAAGCGGAAGGATTGCTTCTATCTTCCAATTCATCATGCTGTTAACTTTATTCGTAGGAGGACTGAAGTAAGTTTTTCGTGTTTACGATTGCTTGTCACCATAGCTTTTAATCTATCACGCTGACGATCATCTTGGCCGGTGGCGAATTTATTACGTCAGTAACAGTATGAATACCAATACTGATGTAATGAATACCAGTTTTCCCGGTTCTCTGTCTGTCCAGGATTGTCTGGCCAGGAATCGAACGCCCGACTTAACGAAGCCAGGTGCAGAGAAACAGATATACTACATACACAACAGATATACTACAGATCCCTTTGCAGATATACTAAAAAATGTAGGTTGTTTTAGTAACTTTGACAGTTTCCTATAAAGTATTTTTTACAGTCTTTGAGCTGACCGCCGGCTACTTGCAAAATGTTTAAATGTGCTCCCTAGCATTGCGTTAAGCACGAGAGACACTGTGTTCGGTTCCCGGGGCAACAATAGATTGTTTCGGTCGGGCAGGGCATCTGATCGGAAGCCTGATCAAAAAATTGGTTCTGGTGTACTTACGTGATCTCTCTTTTAATTACTTGATCTAATTACTTTTACATATCGCCAATATTTGAATCTGACGTGTAGGCAAGTCAACCGACCAACCTACAACTGGAATTGAGCTTGGTGATAAACTCCAATGATCCGAGCACACCGGACGACGATGAGCCAAGCTCCTGATTGGAGGGAATCGTGTACGTTAGCGAAGGTCGTGTTGTTCGCTATGAAACGTGCCCTCTTACGGACTAAGTAGTGGGAAAAGGACTAAGGTTTCAGCGCGAACGTAGTGTGTGTACTACGAAAGAATGCGCCCGAATAAAGCAATAAATTGAAACTGAGTGATCGTGGTTAAGGGGTGTATTAAGCTTTGTACAGTCTGTAGTTTACGCTAGAAATACGCGTACGCTATTTAATAAATAAAAACAGTTTAAAACGCGAAATTGATCATTAAAACATATCCCCCGTCTTGGTAAAGCATTTAAAATACCAGGCCGTAGTTATACAGCTATTCGCGGCATATATTTCGCGGTTTAAACCGTTAAATGATTATTTAAATAAACGGTACTTTATTTGGAGAAAAGTTGTGTACTTTACAAAGGAGAAAACATTGTATAATTAGTTACATAAAGAACTTATGACGTTCAACGTTCCCTTGATTACCATAACATTAATTTAGTGATTAGATTCGAGTAGAAAACGAGTTCTGTCACAGCGTTTTCTTTTATTTCAGTACATTCAGCTTTGAAAAACTTTTCTAATGTTTTAGCATAGACCAGTGATATTAGCATATATATTTTAAGCATTTTTGTATACATGCTACGATCTTGAAAACCTTTAATATTTAATTATACAATTGATATACACGTCCAAATATATAATTAAATATCCACATTGATTTGGGGGAAGAGACGCCTTCCAGCTCAATGGCTAAAAGTTTGGCTTAGCATTGCGTTAGGCACAAATCAAGGGAAACCAAAAAAAGTGTAATGTCTGCCTACTAGCATTGTAAAAAAGTATCAATGTTTCCCCAATGGCGAAATCTAGATGTATTTATTTCTCTGATAAAACATATATTGTTTAAAAGTAACATTACTTAGCAAGCGATTTAACTCTTAGTAGTATGGGATCATTGTGGGTTGCAATCGATTTGTTCTCGATTCAGGAGTGTCTTCCTGGAATTAAACTCTGGAAGAACGGATTAGATTCTCGCCCTTTCCTCACTTGTTGCATACCTAACTGTCTATATATAGATCACCTAAAGTTAGTATGTGTAGACATAGGAATTAGTATTACAAAATCTATGCCATTATAGCGCGAAGTTGGAGGTTGGCGACAGGGCATTCACTGTAAATACGATCCTTCGCCGACGCGACCTAACTTTATTTTAGTGTCATATTTATCCTATACTATGTAAGTATTAATAATCGTTATTTACTATGTGATCTCGTTACTATGTATCTGTATTTGAGTACTAGTATAGAATAACGGGTAAGTTTGTAAAAAAATAGGAGAAAAATAAAAGATTCTTTTGGAATTTTCCTTTTATTTATTGCCCACTTCCACAAGGTAAGTGTGATTAAGAGCCACTTCATTAATATTAACAGTCTGTAACATTTAAATAAATAGATGTACACGCTTTGCACACTTCAAAATTCAATTAAACATCGAGGTACTTAAAATTATATGTACATATGATGATATATACAAATGTTACTACAATGACTAAATCACAGGTTTCGGCCCAAGTTTACAAATTAAAAGTTACGTAGACCGTTCGATTTTTAAATGAACTTATTATTAAGCGAATTTCAATAACCTGCTATAAAGAGTAGATACTATCAATACTGTACATTATAATAAAAATGTTAATATCGTTCAAGGTATTTTCAAATCAACATACAGCTGATGTTGCCCAGATTTCACTCAGTGTACCCTAAATAATGCCCGAGTTTGTGCCTTATCGTTGCCATTGTAGAGACTAACCAGCTATGGAGAATAAATGGAATCTAGATGCTTAGGCAAGTAAACAAACTAAATGACTACATACTTAGAGATACGTGATTACAATTCGTAGTTTTTCTTATAAAAATACATAATATCGCAATAATTTTGTCTTATTAATATTTAAAAAATGATATTAGTAAACAAGGGATACAAGTAGATAGCTCTCAGGTGTTTCCTTACAAAAGTTAGAGCACATGTTACAATATTTTTGATAACAGTGAACATTAACAGTTTACTCGATCTCAAGAAGCCGTGACGTCATTAGGTCATGGTAATACAATGTTTCACGGCGTTTTTTTTGGGTTTTTAAGGCTCAAAAACATATTTTATGATAATGGGGGGGGGGGGGATAAATTAAAAGCGCTTTCTCAAAAATAGCCATCATTCCTATTTGACAATTAAGAGACAGTATATAATGACGAAAGACTTTGTAATTGAAATCTTCACGAAAGCCCTAGTGCCTTATAAATTTGAGGTTTCTCATGTTCTTGCAGCGTTACTATTAACGTTATTATTTTCAGATCTTGTTTTTAATATAAAACAAACTCCAAGCAACATAGCCTCATGTTTTGCTACATGGACACAAATAAAATCACCCTCATCAAATAAATAGAAAATATGATTCAAACAATATACCTAGATATAATCTTATGACCTAAAATACATCTAACGTTCTCATCTGGTGTGTTGTTCGAATTTGTTCCTTTATAAATACATATACACAGTCTACTTTTAAACACGTTCTTATTACATAAAAATACAAGTCCACTCTACATAGTGTCCCAGGCCAAATTTAGACATCCAAATATGTTTTTAACTTTTTTTTTATATACATAAAAATATTGTATTGCAATTTAACGTTTAGTGAAGTTCCTAATTACAGGCTTAGAATTGAGCACCTTTTAAGCCAAAAAGATTAGCTTACAAATCCAACCTATACGAAAATAAAATAACGTATACAATAGTAAATATAGACGTGTATAATACACTGAGACCGTGAAAGATGACGTGTGCGACACCGTTGCTCAATTGGTTACAGCAGCAGCACGGTTCGCTGCGAATGCCGGTTCACATCCCGCTCGAGACGATAATTTTATCAATGTCAATAGATTATTAATTAATAACTTGTAAATGTCATTGAAATTAATAAATAAAAAAAATGTATATACAGTTAAGGCGTTACATACAGCTGGCGTTCTTTTATCGTTCTCACATATAGTCCGATTGTTTGAAAAGTTCGAATGGATCAATCTAGAAGAACATTTCTTTAGCGGCGATGCTATTCCGTGCGTATTCCGTATTCTCAAGTCCACGACATATTAGCGAGAACTCCGTTACTGCCACCAGAACGCGTCGCTTATGATTTCTCTCTCTGCAAAAGTATATTTTTTTTAATGAAGGACCGTCAAGCATGGCGTTGATGGAAGGTGTTTTTTTATTTCTAGCCATGTGTCATCACATGGCTAGGGTATAAAAAAAGATGTGCTGTCGATCTATTTTGGCTTGGGATTCGGAAAACCAAGACATTGAACTACACGGCTTTCCAGTACTTACTTTAGAATAACGCTTAGGAACTTTTGTTTATGCGCCGGGGTGGCATGATGAGTGGGGAAGCCGTCCTGGTTCAGTGCCTGTCGCATCCACACGCCCAACTGACCTGGCCCCCACTCAGCACTATTAAAGGACAGCAGCAGATTTGCGAATGGTTCAACCTGTACTCGAGGCGCTAAGCCACCTGGAAAATTTTAATAATGAAACTACTTTAAATTTAACTATTATGACTACAAAAAAGTAATCCATTAGTCTATCTACATATACAATGGAACTACTATGCGTCACTACTCTGTGGTAGCCCACCATGTCTCTTACAACATTTCTGATTAATGTTTTAGATGAAGGTCCCAAGTTAGCATCGTGGGTTTGACGATGGCAGTTATTTGGAATTCTTTAAGACAAAATATCTAATCTAGCTGTAGCTCTACTTTTTATGTTAGAGGAGAGTTGACAAGTAAGAGGTTGGCACTACATGGAAGGCGAAATAACGCACCCATATAACATCTCTACAGATGCGCTGTCTACCCATTTCGACTATAACCGAAACGCAATTATACTTCATGGCTTTTTCATACGTGGACGGTGGTTTGTGACAAGGATAGAATTTCGATATTCTTACCACCCATTAAGTATCCTGATTTCCACACAAAGTCCAACATGTTTTTGAAATTTAAATAAAACACTTTAACGGTTTAAAACGCGATATATTAGTTAAACTTATTTGAAAATTATTTTTAACTTCGGCCCGACGTCGGGGTGTGTGTGTGTACTACTCGCGTAAACTATAGACATAAAAGTATGTTGTTGAATATGTTGGACCCAGTGGGAATCGAACCCACGACCTGTTGATTATTAGCCATACATTGCAAAATTTAGACCAACAAGCCCGTCAACAGCACAGCAGCGTGGCCTGTGTTTGTGAAACCGTAAATTGAAATGTAAATAGGAATATATTACCGATGCACCGTAGTACGTTGTATACGATATCAGCGCCGCAGTGCCTTATCGCGTTTGGCCTGTTCAGAGCGAGAATACTCAACCACCGGATGGCGTTACGCGACATCTCGGGATCCCATTGTCGTATACACTGGCACGCTGAAAATATATTATTTCTATTTATTCATATCGTGTAACGATGTACTGTATACGTATTTATTTTAAAGATGTTAAAGATATTTAGATTAAATACATATATGCGAGGGTAGAAATTACATTTAGGCATTTAGCCAAAGATCCAGAGAGATAACGACATAGTGTCTTATAGGCAAAGCAACAAAGTTATTTGTTCATTGGTACTTTAAAATTATTTTTTTTATTAGGTAGATGAGTTATATATTTTTCGACAATAAAGATTTTTAAAGTAACTAAAATAATTTGGAGTGGTACGAACTTGTGCCCAGGGCTCAATCGAAAGCACCGTAGCTGGTGGTGTTTAGTAGTTCCCTACTCCCCACGTCACTATTGCCCGACGTGGGCATGCATTAGGCATTTACACCAGCAATTACAAAAAAGGTAAGTAAAATCCACTTTTTAGGAGAAAAGAGGTAGAGGAGACCATCGGAGGAGGAGGAGGAGGGTTCACTTGATGGAAGGTAGATTACCCCAGCTACATATTACATACCGTATTGGACGAGATCCGGTATCAGATGTTCAATCCAGTCCATGTAAATCGCCTTCTTCCTTGTGAGCAGTTGTAACATCGAGAACACGTAGTCGGGAAGGTCAGCATGCGTGGTCTTAACAGCTCCCGTTTCGTCCGGCAAAAAGGCCCTAAGCGCGGCGCAAACGCACGTCGATAGAATCGCTTGTGTGTGCTCGAATTCGTCAACCATTACCACAGTCTAGAAAATACAGTATCACAATTGTTTAAGACGACTATTAATGTCACTACTGAATACAGCGGGCAGATTCGTGACGTTAAGTTGTTTTGGTATTTTCATCTAATGTTAAACAGGTTTGCGTCACTTGGCGCAAAGTTTTGAAACTAAGACATTACCCCTCGGCGATGAATCGAAACTTAATCGCAGCGTAACTGCAACTTGATCGATAAGTCACCTAATCAGTAGATTCGACCTGCTGGTCTTCTTTAGGGCCAAGGGTTTAAGAACATAATAATAGTTAACGTGTATGCCCGTAATCATGTTGTCTTTACTTGTCTAAAATCTTACCAATTTTACTAAATCGATACCACTGCCAGTGGGTTCAGTGTTAAAACCAGCTATAATAAGCTGCGATATGCCATCCATCAAGGGAATGCATTCGTTCCCGAGAGTGGTCACCGTGTTCTTCAGTATTTGAAACATAGACTGTAAAAAAACGTCATATATGATCAAAATCGGACATTAACAACGATTTAGTTGTTCAAGTCTTTGACAATTATATATTTAATTTAATTAAAATACATTTGAGATTTAAACAAAACTAAATACAAATTATTTTTAAATGAGTTTAACTAGTGTATTTCGCGTTTTAAACCGTTAAAACGTTTTAGATAAATGTGCATTAGTCGCATAAACTACAGACAGCATTAAAAAAAATGTATTGTCTGAGATTTTTAAACCAAAAACTGTACGACATAAATTATATTACAAAGAAATATATAGAGAAGCTCGTTGTGGAATGTCGCATATCTACATGCTATTTATTGCTCTTTCAAAATAGCGGAATCGTCTTTTATCGTTTGTGTTTAAGATAATTTTTAAATTAATAATGTGTACAGTAGAAACTTATCATCCCCATACTTTACGCTGCGAGATGGAAATCCTCTTTAACAGTTTGAGGTACTCATACTTTGATATAAATACGTAATCTTACCTCTGCCAATACTGGATGTCGAGTTAGGGCTGCTAAGGAGGGCATTAAGGCGCGTACAAACTCAAGGGCAAGGGGTTTTTGAGTGGAGAGAGCATTGACCAGTGCTGCAGCGCAATCAGCTGCAACACAGCCGCCTTCGGGCATCTTAAAACGAATATTCATGATTGATTAAAAATAATTTACGCATGTAGTGGACCCTATATTATTTTAATAGGTTTTGACGATTGACGATGGAAAGTAAAAGTGTCACTTATGCACGATCGCTGAAAAGCGTTATGAACGTCGAGGTAATTAACAATGACATAAAAAAATTACAAAAGGTTTGTCACAAAAGTGATTTTAAATATTAAGAAGAAGAAGAAGTCCATTTACAATAGATATTTCTTTATCCCTGTGTGTTCTTGTGGCAACAAAAAAAGGTTATCACTAGTCCTCTATGGTTTAAAATCGGCCATTTTTGTCGTGGTCTTTTGTCAAGTAAGAAATTCCCATAGTATACCCGATTTCAAACAGTGGAATAGGGCTAATAATGCACATGAGAATCTGATGTCAGTTGACATCTTCAATTTACGTTGAAGATGTTACTATTTAGTATCAACGTCGAAAGATTAAGCAGTTACCTGAACTGAAATATCCGCGGCAATATGTTCAGCTATCTGGAGTAACAGCGGCAGAGCAACCGAGTAGTCGCAAGCTGCTAAGGCGGCGCCCGCCGCTGACGTTAGTTGTCGGCGCACCCACGCGTCTGACACGCCTTCGGGGTTCTGTATAAGTAAGATGATTTTAGAAAAATATCTTTAAGATTATTATGGTGTTTTAAATAATTTGTAATATCATCAATACAAAATTCTTAACTTGTCCTTTCGTCTATTCCAACTAAATTGAATTTCGGCATGGATATAGTTGAAAATAAGACACTATATATGGATTACTTGTAATTCCGAATCCTATTCTGGATTTTCCGTGTCTTTTATAATTTCTTGTAAAGCTTGTTAATTCTCGAATGAGGTTATAATGTAAGTATTGGTTTCAATTCTGTTAAATTTCATTCTTAATTTTATAAAATATCTGTAGCAAGATTCTGGTCACATGCAAAACTGATAATTCGATAGAATTTTTAACAAACAGACACTGTTTCATAAAGATGGTTATACCAAAGCCGCTTGCACAATATCGTGAACCATCGCAGACGCTGCTTTGCTGCAATATGTAGAAAGGCGGCGCAGCGCCAAAGCGGCCGCAGCCGGGTTGCGCGAGAGTGCCGTGCCCGCTGCGCGTACACACTGAATGCTCAAGGGACCGCCATCGGTTCCGTTGTTCCTAAAAACTTCGTCTTGTTGGTCGATGGCGTTTATCCAATTTGCATACGCTCCTGAAAATTGCGTATATACTTTGTCTAATATAGAATGTCGTGACTAGAAGATTCTTATACAAAGTAATGTGACAATTTCCTTAGAATGAGGATGTTTGTGTTAAGGGTGAAACATGGCATAATTGTGAAAAACTGTGCATCTATAAACGACTCATTTGAATATGAAAATAATCTTGTAAAAAAACGATACCAATGGAGTGGAAAATAATATATTAAATTATCATTTTTATTGGACGGGTTCGTAGGTCTAATGGTAATAATGTATGGTTAATAATCGACGGGTCGTGGGTCCAATCCCACCGGGCCCAACATGTTGCTAATTATTATATTTTTTATTTTTCTATAACATGTTAGACTTCGTCTCGAAATTTGGATATTGAACCACACTTTAAAGATGAAAAAATCGTGTAGTTCAATCGCTGTACGGTTTCAGTCTGTGGATTTATATCCGAATATCCAAAGCCATAATAGTCCAACAGCGCATAGATGTTATGTGGCTGAGGTATTTCACTTTCTATCAAGAGAACCACATGCTTGTCTGTCCTTCTATATCATTAAACAATTAACGGTTTAAATTGCAATGTGCTTTAGTTAATTTTAACTTAAACCGTTAAAACGTCTTTTATTTAAACTTAGTAGAAATCAATACTAACCTATACATTCTAGCGCAGTTTCTAGTATCCTTTTGTCGTGCGTCTGCGCAATAAAATGCAGAGTGCGTCGTAACATATTTGGCAGGGGTGTGGGTATGGGCGCACTTTGCACCACATCGGCCATCGAAGTCAAGACGTGTAACACGGCTTCACGTCGCGAGTCTTTTTCAGCAGTCTCAAACGATCTCGCCACTATGCTCCAACAACGGGGCCCGATGAAGGTAAAGCAATACATCTGTGTAAAATTGTATTTTTTAATTACTGAATCGAGTACCACAGTGGGGAATCGGACACTAATAAAATCAAAATCTTAAATCTACGTAGACATTTTTGTATTGTAATTTCTTATCGAATAATATATAATTATATAAAGGTTTTTTTTTAAATCTATTTTGTAAATTATCATATTATGTACTAAAACACCAATCACAGTGGGTGACGTCTTTCGTAGGCAATCGCTGAGTGCACGTATTTCCTTACATATGACGTCACGAATTGTTACATTACGAAGTTGCATTTTAAACAAAAAACATAGTTTTAGATACTTCGAAAGCTACAATTTAAATGCAATTTTATTTTAGTTTCAAAATATGAAATCCATGAAGATTTGGCTAATCGACTATTTGCAGTGAAGCAAGAATCTTTAATATCGTCAAGATGCTGTATCTATGGTTAGATGGATATTTTATTGACCTGTTTTAAAGCATTTAAATTGTTGTACTTAATGTTAGGGTCTTAATTCTTTCTGAGAAACATTACTGAGTTTTGTTATCAATATAAATATTTAGACAGTGTTTTCTCAGAGCAAACCTTTTAAAATAACACAATAATTACTGATCCAAAATTTACTCACTACTGCATCTGCAATATCCTGTCTATAACACCGCAGGAGTTCTTGGTCATCTTTGGTCATTTCTGATTCAGGTGGCATCTCCGACTTAGTCATGAGAGCCAACAGTACCTGGGTAAATATTTCTTTCCATATTGGGTTCATATTATTCATTGGGTCTGGATGGTTGAGTATCTCGTCCTGTATTTAAAAAAATCACTTATACAACGGTATTAATGCAATAAAATGAATAATATTTTGGCATTATATTAAACTTGGGACAATTTCTAACTGGATGAATATTTCATGTTATAAATGTTTAGAAAGAGACCATTTGCAATTTTACTTTGAGTATTGTTAAGTCTCTGTCACATATTGTGTTAAAACATTTTTGTGTGTGTTTAAAATTTAAAATAAACAAGAGAACAAACATATTTAATAAGTACATTATTACTTAAACATGACATCACATTATCTGTTGTGGGATTAAATATGTTTTAAATCTATAGTTTGATTGAACTATGTGTGTGTAGTACTTTACAAATAAGCGCAACATATTGAACCTGCAGTGTGTACCAGAAGCCAAACATCAGGTTGGATCTTGTTTCGTGAAGTGGATAGTAACCTGGAGCCGCTTGTACGTCCAGCAGCACCCTCAACATCAAGTGTATCCCTGAAGAAGCTACCACACTCTTGTACAATGTTGTAACATGACATTCCGCAACAGAAACGCAACAAGTAATCATTGCGCATACTAGCTCCTGAAATATCAACAGTGTTTTTAAACCATTTCAGAATGTAACGGTTCTTTAACGGTTTAAAACGCGACATATAAGTTAAACTTATTTGGGAGACGGTCACGGCTGCTGCAAAGCATCCAAAACGTCGGGCCGGAGTTAAAAATCATTTTCAAATAAGTTTAATTTAAACCGTTAGTGTTTTATTTAAATGTGTACTAGTCGCGTAAACTATAGACAGTATGTTTTATTATTATTTTTGAATTAACTATTATGTTTTAACAATATACAGTGACCCATTGGTCACTACTTGTATAACAATTAATTTATTATGTTATTATTATTTTAAATTAAACTTATTTCTTTTAAATTAAATTTTTACTGCAATTTCGTACTTTTTTTTTAGTAAATGTAGCCAACATGTTACCTCATTTACTGAGTCAGGTACATTATGAGCAGCAATCACTGGTGCAACAAGTGAAGAAACATCATCGAGTATTTGAGCTGAAGTTGTTGGATGTTGATTATAACTGCAACCATGAGTGGCTGCTATTCGTATAGCAGACAAGCAAGCTTCACATGCTTCTAATGCCACACCACTCACTACATCATTAGTCCTAAAAACAACTATAAAGTCAATAAACTCTGTTTATTAAACAAATTCACTTCTCCAAATTCAATTTTAATACACTAATATAAATACTTATAGATAGATAATTTATGAAGTGAAGAATTACAATATCACAGACAATTTTACAGCATTGGATTATTTTTATTGGATCTTAATTGTAAAAATATTCTAAAACCTTGGTTATGGACTAGAATGGATAACTTGAATTCGACATTCAAGTTTAATATCATATACTTTTGCCCTGAATTATTTTATTTTCTTCTTCTTCTTAGGTTTTATTTTTATAGCTTATCTGTGACAATAAAGAATATAGTACAAATTGGATTATTACCTATATAAAATGTGAACAGCGGCTTGCAAAGCTCTCATAATTGGCATTCTATCAGGCAATGTTAAAGGTGACTCTATTGAATATTCACTACCAAGCGACAGCCAGCTTGTGACACAGCCTGCTGCTATTGCCCAAGAATTCATGATGTCATCGCTTGGTGGACCAGTACTATAATCACTGAAAAATACACAAAATAATTTTAGTAAATTAAGTAGTAGTGAATTATTGAACAAAAATAATTGTAGCTAAATGAGTTTAATTTTTGGTTATATTATTAACCAAAGGTTGACTTTGCAACCTTGTGGTGTTGTTATAGTATGTGGTATTTTAGGTTGAAATGGCCAGAGATTGACTATGGTAGCTGGATAGGTAGATCAATATTATGGCACACTGTTGTGGGTTCAAGCCAGTATGTGTCAATTATTGTTTGAGCAAATCAACCCATAACACCCTTGTATTTGATCTAATTCTGATTTAAGTTATTAAATTGCTTATACATATAGTACATAAGTACATATAAATCAGGCAAAGCAATGGAAGGGAAAAGAAGGATCTTAAAGCCTTTTCTTAAGTAAGATCTAGTAGAACTAACTTGTAAACACTTTGAAAAATTTTAAGCATATCATCTATAACCATGGGTGATGCCTGGTGCAAAGCAGCACGATTTTTTTTCCGCAACACCTCTCCCATTGTCATACTGTTGTACTAAAATAATAAGAAATAATTATTATAGATAATATATAGAATGCTTCTTAATAAAAACAAAAAACGATTAAATAGGTTTGTCTTACTTCTTCTGGTAGTACTGTAAGAACCTCGAGAAGCAAAGACGAATTTGCTACTGTTGACAAAGGACTTAGAATTGGTGCTAAGTCCACTGTTCCTTGTTGTAAGATGAATGCTGCCAGCTAAAATAATAGAATTGAAATAGAATAGATAAGAGGGAATTTGTTTCTTCTCTGTTCTATAAGTGTGAAAAAGTTCTGAAAGTAAAAGTTCTTACACTTGTACATAATCGGTTTGTAACAATTTTTGGTCCATTTGCATATGTTATAACTGATTGTAATATTTTATTTTTAAGTTCTTCATGTGTTTCTGGGGGGAGCTCCAGCCAACATCTTAAAATTTTTGTATGCAAAGTGGTTGCTGCATAAAATTGAACTTCAGTGCCCTGTGGATGAAAACAAACGTAATTAGGGTTAAATGTAAAATTTTACGCCTATCATAGCAGAAAAAGAAATGTATTGAACCTTTGTAGGTTGTAGTAGTTCCCATACAAAATTCCAAGCTTCTGGAAGTTTTTGTGCTTCAGCTAACCAGGTATGTGCTTTCGCTCGTTCATTTTGTTCACCATTGTAAAATACATTAACTGCATACTCTAAATTTTGTACAGTACACTCCATATCTCAACTTATTTTTATAGTTGTGGAACTATACAAAATTTTTACCAAATTATTTTGTGTCTATGAGAACCTATATGATAGTACAGTACATGAATGTCATTGTAGATAAATATAATTATAGTTCGAATAGTATACCTTATTTTTTGAACTATGCTAAATTTTGCAGAGAAAACAAATTCCTCTGTATGCAAAATGTATTTTGCAAAACTGAAAATAGTAAAATACACCTGTAAAGTCAGATCTATTCGAGATGACAATGACAAGATGTGCCACTTACGGAGTTCACAGATGACAAAACAAAATTTATGTATTTATTGAATAGCAAAAGACGTTAAAAGCAATAGATTAATTACTTAATATGTTAAGAACGTGCACAGTTTAGTTATATCACAAATTATCATTTTAATAACAGGATGAAGTGAGGTTTTATCTTCCACAAGCGTACAATTCCAAGTAATACGTCTGTGGTTATCGGGTAGTCGAAATGCAGACAAGCTGTGGAAGAATTCATAACTAAAAAGTTTAAATTGTGTAAACACGGCAACGCGAGCGGTTAAATTTATAACATTTAAAATACCTTAAAATTTACCGAAACAGTTTAAATTGCCAAAATGAAAATTGAGGAAGTTAAAAGCACAGCTAAAACTCAAAGAATATCAGCCCATAGTCACATAAAAGGATTGGGTTTAGATGAAAATGGTGTACCAATTCAAATGGCAGCCGGTCTCGTCGGCCAGGAGTCTGCTAGAGAGGTATTCTTATAATTTGAGTTTTCATAACGTTACTTCTAACAAGGAAGCAAGATACATCTTTTAAATCCAGATTAATAAGTATTATTTGAATTAATATTGATCAAACTTTGAGGTTAAGTTTCGTTTCCATGGTTATAAATTATAACTGATGTAGTTTAATGTTAAACTGACCAAATCATCTCTCATACGATTCGTAAATTCCTTGTACTATGCCCATAATAATGCCGTTTAATTTTTTGACACTTTAAAAACTTTAAGCTAAAGAATATATTGTATTATGGGTCATCATTGTTTTTAGGCAGCGGGGATAGTGGTAGACATGATAAGAAGTAAAAAAATGGCTGGCCGTGCTCTTTTGCTAGCTGGCCCACCAGGTACTGGCAAAACTGCAATAGCGCTTGCTATTGCTCAGGAACTTGGTAACAAGGTATCTTTGCTCAATTTATTATAATTTAATGCAATCTAAACAGTCACATATAAAAGGTATTACTACATAGCGAACTCTATTTATTATTTATAGTGAAGTTTTGGATATGTACTATTTAATTTCAGCGTTTACATTTAACAGAATTGTAATTTTTATCCCACAATAGTTCATCTACGAAAACTTTTCATACGGAATAGGTTGATCTTGCAAGCAGTGAACATGTAGCTTTAAAATTTATTATTATAAAAAATTTAATGGCTTGTCTATTTGTGTATTTTCAATTTATGTTTTGTCTGTATATTGATGTTATTGTTCCTAGTATATAATAGTATATTCTAATTGAAATAAACTTAAATAATAAATTTGTGTTTAAACTTAATAAAACAATTTTATTTGAAATATGTTCTATTCAGGTCCCATTTTGTCCCATGGTTGGCAGTGAAGTGTACAGTACTGAGATAAAAAAGACGGAGGTACTAATGGAGAATTTCCGTAGAGCAATTGGTTTGCGTATCAGAGAAACAAAGGAGGTCTATGAGGGAGAGGTTACAGAATTAACACCAGTTGAAACAGAAAATCCCGCTGGAGGTATAGTTTTAGTCATCTTAAAAATGTTTTTACCTAAATGCTCAGTGGTGATTAAAACCTACTTCAAAATTCCAGTTTTTCTTTTAAAGGCTTTTTCTATTCACAAAAAAAAAAACATTTATAAGATTTTTTTTTGTTAATAGAAAAAACTTTTCTTATATCATATAGATTTAACACAATTTTTTTTGCACATTGTACAATATAAATAATTTTCAAATTCATAGCTATTTGTAAAATGTTTGCTAATTGGTTTTATTTGTTATATGTATTGTTATTGTCCTAGAATACCTACAAAATAGATCAAAAATCAAAAGCAATTAATAATTCCTTTCAGGCTATGGTAAAACTGTTTCCCATGTCATAATTGGACTCAAAACAGCCAAAGGTACCAAGCAACTGAAGCTAGATCCAACTATCTATGAGTCTTTGCAAAAGGAGAAGGTGGAGGTTGGTGATGTCATCTACATTGAAGCAAACTCAGGGGCTGTCAAGCGTCAGGGAAGAAGTGACACTTATGCCACTGAGTTTGATTTGGAAGTAAGTGTTAAGAATATGAAAATTTACATATTATTATTTATTGAGTAGATTTTATAATTGCCAATCTATACTAATATTATAAATGCGAAATTACCTCTGTCTGTCTGTCTGTCTGTTTTAACTCCAGAACTACTGAACTGATTTAAATGAATTTTGGTATACAGATATTTTAGAACCTGAGAAATGATACTTAGGCTACATTTTAATGCCAAGAAAGGGTTGACCCCTATCAATGAAATCAAAATAAAAATTTGTATGGAAATTCGTGGTTTTTGAAGCTAGAACTAATGAAACTTTCTTCTTTGGCTTTTTGTGAGTAGGAGTGGGAGTGGGCGTGGGGATGAGAGTGGGAGTTAGAGTAGGAGTGATGTGAGGTGAGAGTGTTGCGGCAAAGTAGCACTTACAACATAGATTGGCTGTCTTAAATGCGCCCTTACATAAATTAATAAACCTAACTAAATAATTAAAAATTCTACCCCAAGTCACTATTCTACGCGGACGAAGTCGCGGGCACAGTTATTTACATATATTGTTAAAAATTTTAACATACATATTACATTCTACCTACTCTACAACCCAAACTCTACATACATATATGTACTTGTCAAGACTTAACTGAGTATATTACAAAATTATTCTAAGTTGTGTATTATATCTCAATATATATTAATTTCAGGCTGAAGAATATGTACCTTTGCCGAAAGGGGATGTCCATAAAAAGAAAGAAGTGGTTCAAGATGTCACTCTTCACGATCTGGATTGTGCCAATGCAAGACCGCAGGGTGGCCATGATATAATGTCTATGATGGGACAACTCATGAAGCCAAAGAAAACTGAAATTACTGGTATAATTCATTTGTTTTTTAATCTGCGTCCATTACACTGATTGATTTTAATAAAGGTTGGTAGTAACTTAAGTGCCAATGGAAACAATTTTTTGCATCCTTAGCATATGAATCCTGAACACGTTATGCTTAATATGGCAACATATGTCACAGTTCAACTACAGAAGTAATTTATTTATACCACATTAAAATGTTTCAGATAAACTGAGGAAGGAGATAAATAAAGTAGTCAATAAATATATAGATCAAGGTATAGCAGAATTGGTGCCTGGCGTATTGTTCATTGATGAGGTAGGTCTGATATTTTATGTGAACATGGTTCAACATAACTTAGACATTTTAAATAATATTAAACAAATTTACGTTGTAAATTTCAGGTTCACATGTTAGATATAGAAACGTTCACTTACCTTCATCGGGCTCTAGAATCGGCCATCGCCCCAATAGTCATTTTCGCTACAAACAGAGGAAGATGCCAAATTAGGTTTGTGTTTTTTTATTAACACTGTTGCAAAAGTTAAGCTGTAGAGTCTAGACTTGAACTTCGCTAGTACATTTTTTTTTCGCAGACAAAATAAATTTGATTCAGAAATTGGTTTGTCTCATGTCTTACGTGATTTTTACATCACACTTATGCTACTCATAATTTTAATATTATGTTGGTCCATTTTCCTGAGGTTTGTATTGTAAGTAGATTGGCTCTAACTAATATGCGAAATATATTAGTTACACTTATTTCAACATTTTTTAACTACGGCCCGACGTTTCGTTTCCTTATTTCGCATTTAAGTCGTTGAATTTTTTTATTATACTCGTGTAAATTACAAACAGTATTTAAACTAATATGGTAATATTTTCAGAGGTACAGAGGATATAATCTCGCCACACGGAATTCCACTAGATCTTTTAGATAGATTGCTTATTATTAGGACTTTGCCATACAACAAAGCTGAATTACTGCAGGTAAGGGATTTCAAATACAATTTACTAGCCTGTTGTATATTATGAAAAGTTTCTAAATATGTTTTTGTGTTTGCAGATATTAAAACTACGTGCAACAACAGAAGGCATAGCTATTGATGATGACGGTTTGACAGCACTGGCAGAAATTGGCGCTAATAGTACCCTAAGGTAGGATATAAGGTTTTTTTTAATTCAATAAATCCTTCGTCGACGACTGTTCAACCAGATGCGAAATTCCCCTAAATTATAAATTACTAATATTTATTGTAGGTACGCAGTGCAGTTACTTACCCCAGCGATGTTGACTGCGCGCGCAGACGGTTCAACGAGAATTGCGCCCGCGCACATCACTGCTGTGCACACACTCTTCCTAGACGCAAAGTCGTCTGCGAAGATTCTCACCCAACATTCCGATAAGTACATGAAGTAACTCAGGTCGACTACTACTATTATATATATTTTCGAATCAAAACATTGATGACTACTCTGGTAGAGTTAAATATTGTCCTACCGCTATCGAAAAACAATTTTTATATGAAAAATATTATAAATGACACTTTTTGTTCGTTGTAAACATTAGTTATGTTATCTTCACAATGTTGCGTTTTTATTTTATCGCTCAACGTACAAAGTTTCGCTGAAGCGCAGTTTTATTTTAAGAAGGAACTGTGATTTATTTTTACATTCATACCATACTATAATTCTTTCTAAATGGTACCGTTATTATAATGAGACCAGTTGTTTAATAAATAAGTTTAATTTAATAAAAAAGCGTTCTTATTCTAATGTACCTATGTATGTACTATGTACACGTAAACATACCATTAAACTTAACATTATGTACAGGACTATATTTATGTACACACTTCAATGTTTCCGTAATGGAATGTATCGGGGATCGTCAGATCTCATCACTGGGGCTAAAGTACTGGGAGTCGTTGTGATTGGTGGGGAGAAAGTAGGCAAATCCACTTTTACGGCAGTCGGTTCAGCTGTGTGTCTGTATAGCGCTTCAAATTGCATTTCTTCCGGATAAGAGTGCGACCGAATTTTCTTCTCTTCTCTCGCATTGGTCGGGTATACTATCACAATCTTTTCTCCATCACTGCGCAAAGCAACAGGTGGCAGCGCAGTGCTTGTGGATATAGACGGTCCTTCTACCACCTGAAGCATTTCGGTCGGCGCGGCCTTTAATTTTTCAGTATTAGTGGTTGACGTGGTCGTAGATGTCGTGGTGGAAATGACGACTGGTATATCGGGATCTTCGGGCGTTTCAAACTCCCTTTTCTCTCCCGGCGGTCCCATCGTTTGAAGCATTTCGATCTTCATTTCCAAAGTCGGTGTTGGCACGGGAGCTGAACTTGTCATGTTAAATTCTTCTGTGGGAATGAAGCGCGCTGTTGATTTGGGAAGCTCACGAGAACCGAATATTGGTAGACGCGGAGCGTATGCGGATACCAGTGGAAGGAGCGTATCTCTAGCGTAACGTTCAGCTCTAGAGATAAAGGAAGCCAACCGCGCAGGAAGGAATTGTACTGCAAAACTAGTTTCAGCTTTCTCATCTTGAATTTCTATCGAGTCACTAGTTGGAGTGGTAACCTCGAAATGTTTCGCTTTCCGCAGTGGAGGGGGGGATGTAGTCCTCGGAGCTGAAGTAGGTTTCAATAAGGGCTCAGATATTTCGTGTGACTCATCTGGATTGTCGGATCTTTGTCGGGGAGTTTTCTTTAGTCTCGGCCTTAGGACAGGTTCCGCGATTTCCACGAGGCCGCTCGGGGCGGTTTTTGTATTGGTCATGCCGAACGCTCGACCAGTGTCTCTTGTACCTTCCCATTCATACGAATCGATAAGTGCAAACGGTCTTTGCGGGGATTCGTCTGGTAGCTCGTTGTCGTGGGGATCGTCGCCGATAATTTTCGTCACGTTGTTATTCAATATGATGTCTTGCTCGATATTAGTTTCGTTAGCGATGGAGTCAATCTGAAACGGTTGAAGATTATGGGTGAATAATGGTAGATAAAAATATATATATTGCTTTTTTGGAAATTTGGGCGTACCGGTTTCATTTCGCAATTTCCAGGGTATAATGGTAATTGAACTGACTCATCTGATACTAGCCAAAGCAGCTTACAAAAGGAGGACCTGCAGGGGAGAAAAAGGTGTTATAAAAAAAACAGAACAGAAACGAAAGTGGTTCACGAAATCACGACGGCATAGAAAATAGTTATTGATATACATAATGTACAACACAGACTATGTATTTTGGAAACCTCGTGTAATATTTTCAAAGGGGGGCTTATATTTATTTTAAACAACATAGATAAGTGTGTACAAACATACGCGTAAAAGTTTACGCGTTAAGAAATCAGAATCTACTTGTACTCACGTCTTTCCGAAGCTGTCTGTAATGAGGAGTTTATCCAGGTGAATTCTTTTAGCACCAGCGCTGAGCCATCCGTTGTAAGCGCCATAGTTTAGTGTGGCTCGAAGTGGTACACCCAATGCGGGATGCGGAACTAAAACACGGGTCCAGCGAGACATCCCAGAGCTATCTTCGCGCCTGATGTATTAAAAAATAAACTAATTATATTACGTTGTATCTTTAGGGTATACGATATGCAACACACGACGGAAAACACATAACCGTTTGAAACGAGAATGACAATTTAATTACATTAATCAAGGCTTCTTGCAAAAGCCATGATTCATCGAGGCACTTAGTGGTTTAAACCGTTAAAATTAGTGAAAAAAAACTAAACAAATTACACAGTATAGGGGTGAATAAAATCTTTGTAGGAATATGGCGCAGAAAAAAACAATAATGGATCTAAAATACAAATAGACATTTTTAATTTCTCTACATTAGAATTACAAAGATGAGCAATTATTTAAGTAGGTAGAATAGTCATATGGTTGAATGAAAGCTAAAAGTTGCATAAAAATGACTTACTTAGTCATAGGGAAGGATTCATTCAGTCCAGAGTCTCCGTGTAATGTAAGAGTGACTCGCCCAAAGTTTGGTTTCTCCCCAGCGTCGATACCACCCCACACTTCTACGTGGTATTGGTGGGCTGAAAATCGGGTTTGGAATTTATAAAAAAGTTTCCCAGTAGTATGTCCTTTCGACAAGAGCATGATCTAATGAATTCAACTTCAAGACGTTACTTACAAATTTTGTTGCCTGTTTAATATTTTTAAAACTCGTTATTGTCATATAATGTATAAAACTTATTAGTCAATGTATTTGTATGGGCGGGACTCTGATCTAAAACTGGTACCGTTATAGTTACCAGTTGTAGATTATAATTCTTGGATATGAGCGGAGAAATTTTATTATTGCATAAAAAAGTAGATCAAGAACAATGGCAAAGTCCTCAGTGGGTCGTTCGGGTTCGATTCTGTGTCATAATTTTTTGTAATATGTAACTAATAAAATGTAGGTTGAAAAATTTTAACGACACAGGCGGGATTTGAACCGGCATCCACAGCTACCGTGTATACTAATAATACTTGTTAAGAGTAAATTCACCGCAAAATGGTTCTTCTTCTCTAGTGAGCAAATACAGCTGTCCTCTGCCAAGGGACCTGTCTGCATAGTAACCCATGTTACCGCATCGTCTCTCGCTGTCACAAGGAAAGCAGCGGCCCTGGAATTTGTGTTATTTTTATACATGGTTATTACATTTTTAATTGAAAAATAAAATAACCTTTCTTAAAATCTATTATTCATTATCTACTTTAATAAATCTCATCTCATCTAATTACTTATGTTTAACTAAATAAATCTAAGCGACTTTAACGTTAAGAAAATTACCTCCAAAAATGCGTCGTAATTCGAGCAAGGAAACGCCGGAAAGTGGCATTTGGGTGAAACGGAATCTGTAAAGAATTTGTATGCACGCCGATGGTTGCACAGTGACCTGCCCTCGATAGATGCTGCTGCCCACGGCAACACCAAGTCGGATACGGCACCTACGAATCTGTAAATATAAAAATATTAAAAGCTGTGAATTAAAAAAATGAGGTAAGTAAATCTTATAGTTCTGGATTTTACAGGTACAAACTTAAGATATATCTTAACGGTTCGGTCATTTGTAAAAGTTGAGGATATAATGTGTCTAAGGGGTATAATGAGCAAGGTTTTCGCATACTACAATAAAAAATAAGACAGATCTACGTTTTTCAATTGAAGAGGACATCACTAGAAGAGGTTAGTTCTTCGTAAGTATATGGTTATCCTCAACGCATTGTTGGTAAGCAGTTCCTGAATTCACGTTTATACTGTAATGTATTTTTTTTTGTTTTCTATGCTCACGTTTAAATCGACGGGAACACAAAAAACGAGTCTTACAAATTAGAACATCCATGTTGCACTCTCCCTCCATTCGGATAAAAGTCAACGTGGCCTAAAGGCTGCGCTGCTCCGAGTCCACCCAGGATTAAATTCTCTCCATTGGAGTGTATCACATCCACGAATTTAGCATCGTTTTTGTCTAAACGCGCCCTAGAGTCTTGGAATTCGAAGAGTGGTCCAGCTGGATCGAGACCTGTAAGATATTTATGAAATTCAATGGCTTAAAAGGTTTTGAATAAATAAACATAAACTTTAAAAGTCCATTGTTTTTTGGGACACTAGAAAATTATAGCTATTACAGAAGTATATAAGACATAAATTAATTCCACTAGTAGAAAGATGTCTATCGTCTGCACTATATAAATGCTTTTATTGCTGCTGATTTAATGCAATATGTACTATATCGATAAAATAATGACGTCGTACCTGTTATTCGACTGATGTTCTTCAATTCAGAACCGGCGAAACCAGCCACGTGTGCTCCCAAGCTAAATCCTATTAGATGTATATCTTCAAATCGCACATCGATGTGGTCAGCTAAGCCTATATAGAACGAACAAATATCGCTGAATCAGTAAAAGCCTACTAGAACACCGGGATGCAAACGACCATTTTCCAGATCTTCCTTTTTTTGGAAATTTGGTACAAAACCAGCCCAGATTTCGGAATTCGGAGATGTCATCACTTCGTGCCTAACGTACAGAGCACTTTCACGACGTGAATTCGCTTTATAATTAGTATTTTAGTGATGGCAGTCGTTAAAACCTGCCGAGTCGTACTGGAGCAGTATGGCTCTTAAACCATCTCTTTAAAAGAGACCTGGGCCCAACTAGAGGATACTCAGTGGTTGGCAATGCGTTAGATTTTATTAAGATTATCAAACCTTGTAACATCATGGCAAGCTGTTTTCCTACAAGTCGGGTATTGGCTGCAGCTCGAAGGTAGTTCGGCATCGAAGCACCGCCCTCCCAGTCCACGCATATGACGTTGCACTCTTCCTGTTAACGATGATATGGACATTAACAAAAAGTGTTTTTTTTTTAATTATTTATAATCCTAAAGTTTTAGCCTACCAAGATGCGTGTTAAAATGTGTTATTCTGTTGTCATGAAAAATTTTAAGTTTACTAACTACCTTCGGATTTCTTGCTTATAATCCTCCTTTGCAATGTTTCCATATTATTAAATCAATTCAACTGTCATTGGGACATTTTTTACATGTAACACAAAGACTGCTATTAATCTGCCTACTTCGTTATGTACAGACGATTTTATATGTATATTCAAACCGTTATATATACATATTATGACGGGGCTCGTCGGTGTAACGTATCAACGGGTCGTGGTATCAGGGGGGGTCAGGTATGCTTGTCTGTCATCCTCTATCATAAAACGAACCGTAATATGAACTTCATAATTCAACGCTGAAACTAACCACAGCCATCAAAGCGGAACGCATCTCATAAACCCAGACGTTATCGCAGTTTGAGCCGAAGCCGTGGACAATGACGCGAGTTGGTCTTGCTGCGTCAAATGCTCGTGTTGCCCATCCCCACGCTGCTGACATGTTGCTTGCTGACACTGCTAGAAGGGGTTGGTCGCCTCTGAAAAAAAAACGTGCTATTTTAATGCGCTAAGATTTCGACTTATTTAAGCTAAATAGTTAAACCTGTTGCCTAGCATTGCGTTAAGCGCGGGTGATTCTGGGTTCGAAGCCCGGGAAACAATAGTTTGTTTCTTGAGGGCAGGGCATGAAAGTTCAATCTACTTGTCTGTGAATAAAACTGATCAGTGAAACGGACACAGAAATGTGTTCGTCCCTTGGCTCACAAGGAGAAACGGTATTTTACTTTCATGTCATCTTCTGTACTGACTTATTTCCTGTCAACATCTTCAACTATCTTACTCCAACTATATTAATATAATGTGAGTTTACACTTGCATTTGCAAAGCATCCGATACATCGGGCCATAGTTATTATAATTTTCAAATAAGTTTAATTAATATATATCGCGTATTAACCCGTTAAAGTGTTTTAATTAAATGTGTCTACTCGCGTAAACTACAGACAGTGTTTAAAGAAATTAATTTATTAAAAATATTAATTTCTTACAGATGTCCGTAATTAACGTTTAACTGCTTTTTAATATAAGAAGCTTACCTGCTTATTGTAGAGTACAAGAGAAATTGCGTGCCGACTTCTTGTGGTGGACTTGGTAGCGTTTCCAAGTAGGCAAACGGGCCACTGTCTTCGAAACATCCAAACTCGCCATAACACACACTGCCTTGTGACCGCTTTGTTCTAGAAAAAAAAAAACATATTTGTTCATTTACTCGAACACACTTATTGACAACCAAGAGCGTGTAAGTATAAAATAAGTTTGTCTCCTTGGTCTAATTTGATCCCCACCTAGTCTAAAACTTATTGGACAACATATGGAAATTAAATAGGGAAGACTATCGTAATTTAGTCTGTGTCAACCACAGCACCCACAGTGTCATCACGTTTCCGTTTCAGTCTGTGGAAAAAGTCAAAAAATGTCTACAACGCGTGTTGTATTTTATAGGTCTAAGGTATTTCATATTCTATCAAGCGAACCCCGTTTCTTATCCTCATTAGTCGAAAAACTTATGAATTGGCATTATATAGGTCTCTCTACCTACCTAACTACAGCCAATAAAGCTGTTTTTTTTACGATTAATTTTATATTTTTTAATATTATAATTGACAGTTATCTTTTATGTTATATAGGAACCTAAATAAATTATTTATTCAAAATCAGATTGTGACTCAGACAACTGCAACGATTTTCGTAAGAAAGTACGTATTACGTTATTTATATAAAAACAGCATTTTCTGAGAAACACTGCCGAAAACACTTTCGCCTCTCGTAGTAAGGAATTTTTTACGAGTGTTTGATTAGCCTACGTAAGGTAAGCAACTCGGTGAAAAGTAATGAGTAATTGAGAACACGCTAAGTAAAATGTGATAGTCATCGCTCTATCGGCACAGCTTGCAATAAAATGCTTTCACAGTGTTCAGTCTTATACCTTACATTGTAACAGGGATCGTTACAACAACAATAAGACCCACCATGTCGTTCCAGTGCGCCATGGCGGGCATAAACGGATACCGCTACTAAAGGAATAACTATATAATACTAAAGGATAAGGAAAGCATCTGGTAGACAACATAAATATATATGGCTGGTGTATTTGAAATTTACACTCGTTTGACCCACCTCCCCCCCCCCCTGAACTGGTCCAGAGCTAAGGTGAACCACTAATTGAACATATTGATTTTACAAATGATTATGTGTTAAATTCTTCAAGTGTACAATAAAGAATAATTCTTTTTTCGATTTTGTTAACGTACGGCACATTACATTAATAAAAATATTTGACCTATGTGACACCCTCCTGGCGCCAAAGCTGGATTCGCCCTTGCATACTAGTTTATTCTCCTCTATTATTAAAAATGTAAATCTTTTACTGACTAACGCCGAGATGGCGCTAGAAATGTTTTAAAGATATTGAAAAAAGTCTTTCCAAAACGGGGCACGAATTTGGTACCCATAATATCTAGTCTACTAGTCTAAACACAAAACGAAAGAGGCAGTTATATGTTGAAACGTATTAGGAAACAATCGAGCTGCGAAATTCATTTTTGTAATAGAAAGTAGTAGGCGAAATGCAGTGAAAGCATGATTAGACTTACTGAATGCATTCGATTGTCCTAAGGAACTTGTAATTGTTGTTTTAACTACACAATGCCAATACTTTCTATCTACTTAAAGGCAAATCAAATTCAAAATTATTAAAGTATTGTATTCATTGTGGATAATGTATTAAATTTTGTCCTTACTACGATCGGGTCAACAAGTAATTTATAGACGCGTTTTAAACCGTCACAAGTTTTTATGTACAATTGAGACATTTTCTTTCGCATTATTTATATTTAAAGGCTTTACAAACAAATTGTTGAATACTGTACTGTTGTATAAAATACTACATTACACAGTTGTAGGTACAAAAACTAAAAATAGCTATTAACAAATACAACAGGACAAATGAATAACTGGACAAATAAAAAATCAAGAAAAAGATTGTCATAGAAAAAAAATATATAATTAAGAAGTAAGCCTGTACGACTTCGGCTGGTAATAAGAGCCAGATCCTCATCTTTTCCGTGTTTTCTGTAGTTGGCCATTTATAAAATACATTCTGCAGCTGCTGTTACGATCGCCGTCGACTTCCACGTAATATACCTTCTCTCTGTCCCCATTCGTTGATCCACTTACTGTGTTTTATTGGAACATTCATTGTACGTAATTGTTAACCATTAAGAGCTATGTGGTTTTTTCTAAATTTCATTAACTAACAGTTTCGTTCACTGACATGTGAAAAATGTAATTTTTTTCTTAAATACAGAACATATAAAAATACATCATAACAGAACTATTATTAAAAAATACCCATATAAATGAAACAATTTTGAAATGAAATTATGAATCGAAATAAATTGAAAAAAAAAGAAGATTCGGGCAGGACGTTTTCAAACCTTTTTTAATTACGAACAGGAATTTCGGATGCTTTTCAGCAACCAATGAGGTAAAAAATAAGGTAACTTACATAAATCACGTTTTAAACCATTAAAATTGTTTTTTTCATTGGATAATTATCTAATAATAGAGGCTTAATGTTACTTAGTTCTTGGAACTGATAACTAATAAAATTACCTTGTACGCCCTTTCTTCAGCTCCCATTGTTTGATTGATGATCTAACAGCAGCAAGCAGCTCAACATCTCGTCTTTCATCTTCAGCCTCCTGTACAGCTGACACAGCCGGCCCTGCGCCCCGCCATGCTTCTAATTCCGCATCTGGTAGACAACATAAATATATATTAGATTTTCAGCCGTTTAGTGTCCATAGGTCTCCAAAGACCTTCATTACGATCTGTCGTTAGCCATTTGAATCCAGATATTTCCAGCTATCAATTTTCACGCTAGAACTGAATATTCCATATTTTAATAGGATAAGCTACTACGCCGAAGATTTATGTGCACAGTCTACTGACTAAGACATATAAGTATTTTTTTCTTGATTTACACGAACAAAATGAAACTACAGATTGACGACATAAAAAGAACTATGTAAGAAACGTAACTTAACATATTTTGACGTCTTCCTATGAATTAGTATATTCATCATATAAACACTTCGTAATATGTGTGATCTTCACTTTTGCATTTATTAATCACAATGATTATATCACTTTTAAATTAAAAAACTTATTTTGCCCGTTGTTACTAATCGATTTACACGCCTTTGAAATTGGGTCATTAGTTTAGACGCTGGAGTGGAACATATACTTTCAAAAGATTCACTTTATAGAAGTAAAATAACGTTAATACGACCTATAATTTTTATCGAAAGTTTTTAAATAGTCAATACGTATTAAGATTAACCAATTATCGACTCTCCAGTGTATACAATAAAATTTGTTTAAAGAAAGCGACGAAATTTATTTTTATAAAAAGTTATTTGCCATTTGTATTGAGCAAGGTGAAATTTAAGAATCAATTATTCTATTGTTGTGTAGTTTAAAAGCTTTAGTGTTGGTGAATTCAGAGGTTCTAGATTCACTTAGAATACGAACGAAGACTGGAGAATACTAGGTAACCTGAATCGTATGCGGACTCTACTTTTTGCGGCCTTGCTCACATGTTGTAGGGCATTGTGTGTAAGTGGTGTGGCCTACTGTGGAAAGTAAGCCACTCCCAGCCATCGCAAATGGTGAGAAACTTGAGGATGCTTTTATAACATTCGTGTTATAATAGTCTTTCTAAGAAGTGAGTGGGTAACCAATAGCTGGTAGGTATGTTTTCTACCGGGTCCAGCATATTTGTAAATCATATCTAATTGGTCCACTGGGTAAGGCTAGAATTAGTATATAGCATAGATGGACAGCATATCTATGTTATATTTATCATATATCAAGTAACCTAGTTTTATAAGATTGGGACACGTATCCCGGTCTCTTTGAAAGAAAAACTACTTTTCTTTAGTTTCAAGAGTTGTGCGGAATGTAGTTTTTTGTCACTTGATTATTTACGACCCTTTAAAATGTATATATATATTCAATATGAATATAACTTGATTTTCCGGTCATAAAACAATTAAAAAGCTCTTTAACCTCTAACTCTGTTTATCTATAAGCTTAAAGTATTCGCTTTAAGTAATGATCTAATATATAATTATAGAAGCAACTCTAGGGTTTAAGTTTTAATTGTTCAACGAGTTGACGCCCTTACTGTAAATTTAAGGTATTGTAGCTTTAACACAAATTGTCGACTTTCGTATGTCGACTGTCTACAATTATCTAAATGGTTTTTGTTTTTGTATTCTAAAATATTACTTCTTTATATGTTAGAGGAGGAAAGACAAGCATGGTCACTTGGTAAATGGTAGGTAAAATTGGCTTTGGATATTCGGAAATGAAAAGGTATTGTTTTTTTTTACTGTACTTACATTTAGCAACAACTAAAGTGGATAAAACTAGAAGCAAGGCGATCGAGCGCCAAACAAGCGTCGCCATCCATGCGGCCCGGCATTCACGTACAGCTGAAAGCAAAATTAGTTAACTTATTATTGAAATTTTACATTATTATTATAACATCAACGGTTTCTCTTATTGTAATAAAATACATAAACAAATATTCCTTATTGTCACAAAACAAAACAACAACAAAAATCCTAGCGTCATAGTGTTAGTTACCTAAGTCCTCCGAAAAGGTTAAATTAAATGTTACCTATATGCGTATTCAGTAGGTCTGAGATTCGGTTACAATCTCAGGTACGAGTGATCCTGACTTAATTTTTATTGTTTAGATAATTTTTTATTATTTTTTATCTTTTCTAAATGGTGTTAGGTTAGGCGTCCACCAGTGTCAATCAAATACATTAATGTTTGGTGTTTTGATATTTCTGTAAGTCCTCATTGTTCTTTTACTCAAAGACATCCTACACTAGGAAAGTTATAGAAATAATGTATATGGCAAAACAACGTTTGCTGGTTAGTAATAATCCAAAGATACCATGTCGAACTTAGGCATACGCGATGAAGGACTATCAGCATAATGTACTAATGACCTGAGAAGTAGTCGATAGCATATTGGAGAAAAAGGTTAAAAGAGGGCCGAGGCACATTCCTTGGGGAAGACCTATAGCCAGCGGCTACTGGTTATGGTTTTGTGAAGGTGTAGTTTGCTGACGATGGTTTGTCAACATATTTAGAAGGGCTCGTTGGTATAAACTATAAAGGTAGCAATTTGTGGCCAAAAGGTCGTGGGTCCAAAATGTTTCAAATCAATTTATAAATTGCTGGAACGTGTTGGATTTCGTCTGGAAATCTGGATATTAGTGGTGGTCCTACCACCCACTTAATATCCAGATTAAAAAAAAAATCCGTTTGGGTCACAAGCCACCGTCCACAGTCCGTCAAGTATAATCGATTTGGTTTCAGACTGAAGAGTTCCGAATATCCAAAGGTCGACAGTGCATATTATTTAGACGTTATATGGCTTCCATCTAGTGAATCTCATGCCTGTCATGCCATGAAATGTCTTTTTCGCGATAGAACTCCCACTAAGCCCAAGGTATTTTAGAGAGATATATATCTAAGGAAATTAAACACTGAGTGGGCTGTCCTAACCTGCCAACTACAGTAAAACACAGCTGGTAGTTATAACAAAAGATACATTGATACTTTTTACAGCTCAACAAGTCTAACGAACATTCAATTATCTTATTAATAATCATTATGATTTCCTTTTTCATTTCAAAACCATTCATCTAAGATCGTTTGTATCTAAAACCACAAAAAAGTTTTCATTTTGCTCAAACAATGAGAACATTTTCAATGAGGTAAACCTCAATAGTTTATACTGCTGGTTTATTAATGTCGGTAAAGGCGAAACTATTGCGTCTTTATATCGGTTTAATAAATACAAAACACTAATAAAACGTTATTTAAAATATTGTAAAACGAAACGCGTTTATTTGTTTTTATTACAGAAGATAGACTTTAAGATTACATATAATTTAATTCGCTAATAAAATATATTAGATCTAAATCTAGTTGTTAATTTGATATGTTTACTATGCTATAGTAATAATCTTCTAATATATATTAGAAGTCACATCACGAGCGATAAATAAGGGATAATGGAGCTATAAATCTTATCTCAAATGACAGTTAAGATGACATTGTATGCAATTACATTCAGCCCATTCCGACAAATTTAAGAAGAAGGAAGTCTTAAATAATAACTTATGTTTTCTACATATATTGACCGCTCTCGTATCTCAATGGTTAAGTGTAGCTTTGTGTTGAAAGAGGTCCTGGAAATTGATCAGAGATATGAATTCAAAAATATATTCGCCCCTGAAGAAAGTCGATTCTCGACTAATTATGTATATTATATAAACATACAGATTATTCGAATTAGAAGTGTACACTAATACTAATACACTTAAGACTTAAATATATATAAATATAAGTTCTAAATATGTATATTGTGTACGTAATTTTAACTAACCATTGATATGACATAATGGTCTCAAGTTTTCAAACTAATAAACAAAGTATAGTACTTTCCAAATAATGTTTCAAACGCTAAGCCAAAATATTTACCGGTATATAATAAATTTGTTTCTTGTGACAAAATCGAACGCGTAATTGATAGTGAAAGCAAATTCCTAGACCGTCGTAGAACATGGTAATTTCACGATATTATTTATTGATATTAATTACCGTAGGTGATAATTATCATCACCAGACAATAATTTAACACGAAGTCCGGTTGAGTTGGCGACTCGTCGCCGTCAATGGAAATATTCCTTTATGTAACTTTTCATACAGGGTTTCAAACCGGTTTATTTTGCAACGTTTTTATTGCCTTTTAATAATCGTATTGCTTAAATGTTTTTCGATTTCAATGTTTTTATTGTTCGAGTTTTTATTATAGATGGAATGATATTGTACTTTGGTCCATTGGTAGCTAATAATACTCGAGATAACATTTTTAAAAATACTATCAGATTTTACATTACATGGGTTATAGAATTATCGATATTATAATACCTTCCAAGTTATGCACCACTCTACACAATAGTTTCTCTAACTAATCGCGAATGTTAAAAAATCTTGAATACATCTTCCTACGATAACTAGTTTATGGTGATGCTATGGAGGCATCACCATAAACTAGTTATAGAGCTATTATAAAAGATAGCTATCCTCGATTTGATTGGATCAGCATTCGCAATCAAACATGTCGGTCATGTTGATCATCGCCACTGACCCGAACCGATGTGAAGGTAATTCGACCTTAATTTCATGGTTCGTCGATCGGCACAGCCGGATCCTATAATAATATCGGAATATATCGCTGCGCTTCCTACAAATTGGATCGTGGAAAGCGGAATAAATGCAGATAGAAATTTAGCACCGCAAAATCTTTGTAACAGACGTTAAGATTTGTAGGCGCTAGGAATCAACAATTGGAAGCAGACGGTCCACCACGAAGACGGTGACGTTTGGATGAATTTGCTTAACCAGGCCAAGGCCTAGGAAGCACTAATATATACGTTCTCGAATATAAAACCTAGAACCTAGGTCGATCGATACCGTTTTAAAACTAACGGTTCCGAAATCATATTAACGTAAGCTAAGCAGTAAACTCAGACTTAAGAAAAATCATTTAAATAAAACTCTTTTGACATAAGTACACGCTTTTAACATTTAAATCCTTCGTTCTAAATTTAAAATGTTAAAACTGAGTGTGAGTGTTTTATGTAAATGTACAATGCAACGTACAGGCGCAAACTACGGGCCATACTTAAAAATACAATTTTAGTAGTTTTTATTAATAAATAAACATAAGAGGTATCTGCATCCATGATATCGTCATGATATGGATGCAGAAAACCTTAAGAACCCAGTTATCGCAGAACAATTCCACGTTGAAATCAACAATAGATTTAGTGCATTGAAAGTAGACGAAATGGATGCAGAAGAGCTATGGGAAAACACAAAAAACCTGGCTAAAGAAGTGGGTTTAAAGGTAGTGGGGAAAAAGAAGCGCAAAAGAAAGAGACGGTGGTGGACAGATGAGTGCGAAAGAATAGTGGAAGAAACAAGGAAATACCGCATCCTCGCAGAAGAAAATCCATCATGGAAACAGCAGTATGATGTCCTCAGATTGCAGTTAAAAAGGACCTTCCGCAGAGCCAAAAGGAGGCATCTGGAGGATATCATCGTAAATATGGAAACGCTGATGAGAGCCAACGAATCGCGAAAGTTCTTCCAAGAAGTGAGATCCGTTAAGAAGGGATACCAACCTACGTCACAATTTCTGCTCGATGAGGAGGGAAATCTTGTTGCGGGGACTGAAGAATTAAGGAATGCGTGGCGTAAATACTTCCAGGAGCTTCTTAATTGCCCCGAGGTGGAGCAACGTGTAACTCCGGTGGTGCAGGTGGTACCGGACACATATGTCGCCCCTTTGTCGTTTGAAGAAGTTAAGAAAGCGATCAAGAGGCTAAAGAACAACAAAGCGCCGGGTGTGGACGGACTGCCAGCAGAAATATGGAAGTATGGAGGAGATGCCCTACAAATGAGACTCTACAGGGTGCTAAAGAAAGTTTGGGACACAGAAAGACAGCCTCGCGAGTGGACTGTAGGTATCATATGCCCTGTCCACAAAAAAGGCTGCAAGAAGACGTGTGCAAACTACAGGGGAATTGCAATGCTGTCTACCGCTTACAAAGTTCTATCCTACGTATTGCTAGACAAACTTGAACCATACGCGGAAAGAATCGTCGGTGATTATCAGTGTGGGTTCCGACGCAACCGTAGCACAATAGACCAAGTATTCCTCCTAAAGCAGCTGATGGAGAAGAAGTGGGAATACTCGCAGAGCATACACTCTCTGTTTGTGGATTTTAGCAAAGCATACGATAGCATAGATAGAGACTCTTTGTACGTTATTTTAAGCAACTTCGGGATCCCGCAAAAACTAGTTTCCCTGGTTAAGGTCGCAACCGAGAGCAGCAGAATGCGTGTTAGAGTAGGAAGCGGACTATCAGAAGAATTCGTGGTGAAGACCGGCTTAAGACAAGGAGACGCGCTATCCCCAATGCTGTTCAACTTGGCACTAGAACACGTAATCCAGAATGTTTTGGCGCTGGATGTGGGTGTAAGGCTAAATGGACAGCATAGGGTAGTTGGATACGCCGATGATTTGGCTCTTCTAGGCCAAACAAAGAACGAGGTGCAATGTCTGGCGAGAACCTTGATCTCCGAAGCAGCTGGAATTGGTCTGAGAATAAACCGAGAGAAAACGGAATACCTCCACATGAAACGCTATAAGGACAAAAGAAAGGCACTTGAGGACCTACATGTGGACGGTATCGCATTCAGGGGTACCAGTAAATTCAAGTACCTCGGCTGCACAATAACGGACACGAACTCAAGGGAAGAGGAAATAAATATCCGGATCCAAAACGCCCTCCGTTGTTGCGCGGCCCTCCATAAGGTGTTAACGTCCAAACTACTTACCCGGAAAACCAAAATCCGAATCTACAAGACCGTCATCCGTCCTATTCTACTGTACGGATGCGAGACATGGACGTTGACGCTTAAGGAAGAGGAAAAGTTACTGGTGGCCGAAAGGAGGATTTTGCGGAAGATTCTTGGCCCGACACAAAGGGAGGATGGAAGCTGGAGAATCAGGAAAAACGAGGAGATCGAAAACCTCGTAAACGAACCCAATATAATGGGGGAAGCTAAATCCCAAAAACTCCGCTGGGCTGGCCATTTGGAGAGAATGGGAGATGATCGGAGTGTCAAGAAAGCGTATATCGGAATTCCAACTGGCCGCCGACCTGTCGGCCGGCCAAGATATCGCTGGAAGGACGCCGTGGAGAAGGACCTGCGCGAGCTCGGTGTAGCCGAATGGCGAACAGCTGCACAGGATCGGCAAAAATGGCGCTCTTTAGTTTCGGAGGCCAAGACTCACTTTGGGTCGCTGCGCCAGCGGAGTAAGTAAGTAAACATAAGAGGTACGGCGGGATAAAACTAATATAACAATGTCGTGCTAGTAAATCTTGTTAAATTGTCAAATTTCTGTGATCTAACGTGATACGTGTAGCGCTTATAAGTATCGTTACTACAAATTTCTAGAAGTCACTTCAGTTACAGAAATAATTAATTTTGGTCTATCAGTCGTTTTATCCACAGAGCTCTTATTATTGTAGAAAATCTTGTCAGGCCAGTTAGTAGTCAGATCTCATATTGTATCAAGGATAAATTGCGGAAAGACTCATCATAATAAAATGTGCGCTGACCTCATGGTTATGAAATTAGAAGTCATTTTTGATAACGTTTTACTAACTGAAATTATACATATTTTAGTTGAAAACGGACGTTTGTTTCATTAAAGTAAGATATAATCACACGCGTTATGTTGAGGGTTCGCGTCACCGCAGAACCGCGTTCGAAACTAGAAGCGTGACGTCTTGGGTTCGAATCTGGAGGGATAAAATAATTTTTGTGTTAGTATGACAAAGAATTTTTTAAAGTCTAAAGATTTCTTAAGGATTGTTTAATCAACTATTGGGTTGTTCGGAAAGTCATTTCGTTTTTTTTTGGGAACATGAAAGACAGTTTTCGTATAATGAATAAATATTTTATTAAATTATGTATTGGCCATTCTGGTCCAACACCTTTTGCCATCTCGTGTGGTTATTCGCCGTTTTGCATCAACTAATGCCTTTATCGCATCTTTGTCAGCTTCGACCGGCCTTCCAGACCGTGGTGCATCTTCGACATCAAAATTGCCGGATCGAAATTTTGCAAACCAGTTCTGACACTGGCGTACTGTTAACACGCCTTCTCCAGACGAAAATGCTGCTTATTGCTCTCCATATTTAAAAGGGCACCAACCAAAAACTACTGTGTAGAATTAATAGAATTCTTTCACACACAAGCCTTGCAACATCAGCTCTCAAGACATATAATGGTTATGCGGCTTAAGTGTGAAGTTGCTTTCGAAAAAACGTAATTAAGTCCTCTGACGGGAAAAACGAAATTACTTTCCGAACAACCTATTATGTTGTTCGGAAAGTAATTTACGGTACTTGTTTCTACATAAATTTGATCATTTAAACGGACAAATTCTTGTGTCTGTCCTACATACCTATATGCCCTACATAGAAGGAAAGAAGATTTCATATCTAGAATACGTGTCGTTCTACAAAACGATTCAAAAGAGATACAATTATAAAGCTATCAAATTCCACGCCAATCCTTTTTTGTGTATGTTCTACATCTATATATACTAAAATACAAGTTATTTTACATAACAGGTTTGAAATATAATATACATTTTTATGAGCGTACTTGATAGGCTTTTATGGGTAAGGAAATTAAATTAGTGTAATCTAATTTCTCACAACACAATGACGCGTGACGAAGAGCTACAGAGCTTTCACTTCATACTTTATCACTTCTATCTTGCATTCGAAAGTTCAAAGCTGCGAAGGTCATTGTGAAATATTGTTTTTCTTTGTCTTATAATAGCTGAGACAGATCAGCTTAAGATTAATTTTAGCTATACGATATATTTTCGGTTATTCGAACTCAAAACCAAAAATATTTATTGACTGTCAGAGGTTGAGTGTCTCCCAACTTAATACCGACTGCCTCTATGACTAAATGGTGAAACGTGTAGTCTAGCATTATTTAAATAAAACACTTTAACTGTTTAAAACACGATATATTAGTTAAACTTATTTGGAAATGATTTTTAACTTTGGCCCGACGTTTCTGATGCTTTGCAGCAGCCGTGGTCACGGCATTTATCTTCTTTATGGTATCAATGATATCAATTCTTTATGGTATCAATGACTAACATGGAGCCTGGACCACGGCTCCATGTTAGTCATTGATACCATTGGAACAATGACTGTCAAAAATATAAATAATTTTGAAATAAACATTATTTTTAAATATGTTAGGTCAATGACAACGCGCAATATTTGTGCTTAAATATTGCTTTTATTCTCAAGGTAAGCTAGTTATAAGAATTAATTTTTAGTTTATATTATCACGCGTGGCCACAGAAGCAGTTTCTCGTTCCGTCAACGCTGTGAATAGGACATGTATATAAGTGATAAATTTATCTTCTTTATCAGTACTCGAAGTCGAAGAAGAAAGGTCACGCAATTCTTTGTCAACTGAGTCACGGAGCTGGTCAAGGATAGAGATGTAGCATGTATTTTAATTTTTTTAAGCTTGCGACGAAAGAGCATAAACGAACAACCATAAACATACAGAG